TCGTATATAATGGTTTTACATTGGTGTCGCTGTACTATACATCGTATATAATGGTTTCACATTGGTGTCGCTGTACTATACATCGTATATCATGGTTTCACATTGGTGTCACTGTACTATACATCGTATATAATGGTTTCACATTGGTGTCATTGTACTATGCATCGTATATAACGGTTTCACATTGGTGTTGCTGTACTATACATCGTATATCATGGTTTCACATTGGTGTCACTGTACTATACATCGTATATCATGGTTTCACATTGGTGTCATTGTACTATGCATCGTATATAATGGTTTCACATTGGTGTCGCTGTACTATACATCGTATATCATGGTTTCACATTGGTGTCGCTGTACTATACATCGTATATCATGGTTTCACATTGGTGTCGCTGTATTATATACATCGTATATAATGGTTTCACATTGGTGTCGCTGTACTATACATCGTATATCATGGTTTCACATTGGTGTCACTGTACTATACATCGTATATCATGGTTTCACATTGGTGTCGCTGTATTATATACATCGTATATCATGGTTTCACATTGGTGTCGCTGTACTATACATCGTATATCATGGTTTCACATTGGTGTCACTGTACTATACATCGTATATCATGGTTTCACATTGGTGTCGCTTGTACTATGCATCGTATATCATGGTTTCACATTGGTGTCGCTGTACTGTACATATACATCGTATATCATGGTTTCACATTGGTGTCGCTGTACTATACATCGTATATCATGGTTTCACATTGGTGTCGCTGTACTATACATCGTATATAATGGTTTCACATTGGTGTCGCTGTACTATACATCGTATATCATGGTTTCACATTGGTGTCATTGTACTATACATCGTATATCATGGTTTCACATTGGTGTCGCTGTATTATATACATCGTATATCATGGTTTCACATTGGTGTCGTTGTACTATACATCGTATATCATGGTTTCACATTGGTGTCGCTGTATTATATACATCGTATATCATGGTTGGTCACTATACATCGTATATCATGGTTTCACATTGGTGTCATTGTACTATACATCGTATATCATGCTTTCACATTGGTGTCGCTGTATTATATACATCGTATATCATGGTTTCACATTGGTGTCGCTGTACTATACATCGTATATCATGGTTTCACATTGGTGTCATTGTACTATGCATCGTATATAATGGTTTCACACTGGTGTCCCTGTACTTTACATCGTATATAATGGTTTCACATTGGTGTCATTGTACTATGCATCGTATATAATGGTTTCACACTGGTGTCGCTGTACTATACATCGTATATCATGCTTTCACATTGGTGTCGCTGTACTATACATTGTATATCATCGTTTCCCATTAGTTGGTATATCAGCTAGGGTATCACATTGTATATTATTATATATAGAACAAAGGAAGCAAGTGTTTGACATGATATACCTGTGTATCACATTGTAATCCTTGTATTGTATATCATTGTATCGTGTATCAGATCGGATATCAGTGTTTCACAGGATATATAACTGTTTTACACCGTGTATCGGTGTATATACTCGTATACCGGTGTGTATAATCGTAATCCGGTGTGTATACTCGTATATTGGTGCGTATGTGTATACTCGTATGTCGAGGTGAATGTTCGTATAATGGTGTGTGTATTCGTATAACGGTGTGTATACTCGTATACCGGTGTGTATAATCGTATATCGGTGTTTATACTCGTATATCGGTGTGTATAATCGTAATCCGGTGTGTATACTCTATATCTGTGTGTATACTCGTATGTCGGTGTGTATAATCGTATATCGGTGTGTATACTCGTATATCGGTGTGTATACTCGTATACCGGTGTGTATAATCGTATATCGGTGTGTATACTCGTATATCGGTGTGTATACTCTATATCGGTGTGTATACTCGTATACCGGTGTGTATATCGGTGTGTATACTGGTATGTCGGTGTGTATACTGGTATGTCGGTGTGTATACTCGTATGTCCGTGTGTATACTCGTGTATCGCTGTGTATAATCGTATATCGCTGTGTATACTCCTATATCGGTGTACGACTTGGCTGAAGACGTGAGTGTCCATTACACTGCGGACATCATGGGACAGTCGCGGCAATCAGAGGGGATCAGAGAGGAACGGGAGTGAATCTTTTGTACAACAAATATGCTGATGGTTTGGATGTCATTGTCTCTCTTAATTGCTTACGGAACTCGTTCCTTTTGATCGCTTTCTATGACACTCTGCCGGGAATATTTCCCAGGCACTTTTAGCGATAAATGTTCAGTGAAGCGTTGTAGAAAAGTAATTGACAGCTGTTGGTAAACTTGTCGAATCGCCGCAGTGTTGACATTGTCATGCGCATATAGACAGTGTCGGTAACAATGGGAAGACCCACAATAGATATTAAACATGTGAGAGTTGTCGTTGTGTGCGATGTCTCGTGGGACAGGTGGTGACGTACGTCGTCGTTGACAACACGGCGACACCGCGACAGCTGGACATCACGTGTGACATGGATCCTGTCGATAGAGTAAATGAGATTCCATTACGACGCAACGCAAATAGAATGTAATTTGTCTGTAATTTGTGCTTTATTTGATGAGGGTAGTGGTACATATATCTACATACTGCAAATCATATCTAATACGCACCCCTCACTGCGAACACTGACGCATTCTATACGACCTGTTTTGTATGCATCACTTTCCCAGCATATATCAGCGAGTCCGCCTTTGTAGTCACTGAACAAAATATGTTCAAACAAACAAACAAATGTTTAGGCTTTTCGGTTTGAAGAATAAAAAAACTGCCATTCAATTGAGCTGAATGAAATATAGCTCGAATTGGATATGTTTATTGATAGCGGTTAGAGTTGCTAGAACTGTAGCTTCAAGTGAACAAACACCTTGTTGATATGACGCCCATAGAGATATTGTGAATAAAACACAGTGTTTAAATGCTGGGTCTTAAACACCAGGTTTAAATGGTGGCAGCTGTAACCCAGGGCGTGTCGGAGTCATGATTAGACACTTAAAAAAGGGCTTGTATTCTGGCACCATGCGTATCGATTTGTGTCAACCTGAATGTTATTCTAATGACAGTTTATCAATAATACCAAAGCCCATTCCATTCCAGTAAAGACAAGACATAAACTACGGTGTATTGTATTACGGCACATATTGACAATGTAACGTCGCTGTCTTACACTCACTTACACAGGGAGAAAGCTGAAGCTCGCCTCGGTCCGTGATATTATGGTCGGGGTGTAGTGGTGACAAGATTATTGACCCGCTACATCTCAGCGAAGGGCGCTGTAGATTGAGATAAGGCCGTTTCCTCTTGAGATAGTGAAGGGGGCCGGGATACAGTCGGTGTTTACCCCGGGAATGCTAGACACGGGCTTAACACACCTCTACCGGCTCACAGCAACACGTTTATAAATATTACCCCAGTTTTCACGGATTATACGGATTTGCAACTTCAGCTGTCTCTAAGAGGTTCAGTTTTGAAGCGGGTGAAATGATTCAGTGTTTCGAATGGGGACAGGTCGAGAGGTAGTACCACCACGGATAGTGTCACTCAGGTAGAGAGGTAGTACCACCACGGATAGTGTCACTCAGGTAGGTGTAGTCTCAATAGTGAAAACTACAGTGTTTCAGGTGATCAGGGGTGAGGTAACGATGGCTGTACAATCATTATACGTCGCCCCGTACCTATATCTTCATTACTATGTCATTATTATGATATTATTATTATCTGTTATTAAATGATTTAAACTGTACCCGCTGCTTCAGGTTTATGTCGAATATCTGCCACATTGTTACTGGAGCTCGGTAGGACGTGTTTTATCCCTATCCCAACAGTGTCCCCTGCCGTGATATTGCTGGAATATTGCTAAAAGCGGCGTAAAACCATACTCACCCACTCACGTATCCCAATATACATGTACCTATAAGAATATTTTTATTGTTATTTCCTCTTATTATTAGTATTGCTGTTGGTGGTGTTTATTGTTATTGCTGTTATTATTCACTTGTGAAACCGTCACTGGTGTTGGCTACATCCAGGTCATTCTCTGCACATCGTGTAACACAATAGGCTGTGTAATGTCGCTATAGTGTGACGAAATGGGCAGTCTGATGTCCTCCTTAGACTATTAACGCGACCAATATCAATTTCGGTTGTTCTAACCGACAACATGAAACCGAATAACACCTTCACTCATCAGCGTTAAAGATGTAAAGTGATGAATATCAATTGCCTCCCCATAAGCAACTTGTACATGCCCCTGAGAGGAGTAACGCATAAGACGAAGTGTCCTCGTATAGTGATTGGATTCGCATATTGTGTTCACTTACCTGCTTATTATTGTAGTTCCGAAGCCCTGTTTGTCTTGGGGAAGTGAGTGAGAATTGTTTTACGCCGATTTTAGCAATATTCGAGAAATATCACGGCGGAAAACACTAGAAAGGGGCTTGACACATTGTACCCATGTGGAGAATCGAACCCGGGTCTTCGGCGTGACTAGCGACTAACGTCCAGGCTACCCAACCACCACCACCCACCACCCACCCACCCCACCGCCCCTCTGTCACGGGTTTCAGCTCAGCGAGGTGGCACGGTGCTCATGTTGACTAAAGCGTCGCAATTCGCGTTGGCTCCCTTGGGAGTGACAGAAACCTAGGATCGTAGGTTCGAATCCAGGTACGCCCTGGTCATGTATGGGATTAGTCAGTACTTACCCGTTCCTGATGGTTTCAGAACAGTGGCAACCTACCTAACATTGTGGATTGTGTGTCGACATACTGACAAACCGTTATCAGTCGAACATCGTTAAAACTCACTCACACTCATTTCATATGACTAGTTCTGTTTTATTGTATTTGTCTGCCAGCTATTATTCCTATTAGTTCCTACAATATGACAATATTGGTGTTACCAAGTCATGCACATCTCAATGTCTGTACTTCCAGGGGTGGTAGAACGTCACACCGACCCCCTGAATGTGGTGATGCGCGAGCCGGGTCGACTATCTGAGATGACAGTAACGTCATCGTTAACCTCCGCCCAGCACCTCCCCGACAAGGTGGTGGATGTGCCCAAGGATACGATCAAGAACTTCGCCCACACCAAGAAGGTCGGGAACTACCTGCTGGGCAAGACGCTTGGGGAGGGATCGTTCGCCAAGGTCAAGGAGGCTCTACACATCCCCACGGGAGAGAAGGTAATAAACCGGATGTAGCCTCGAGCACACTGTACACAAAATGAGATGTTTTTTTACATGTTTTAAACGGTATTTCATTAATATCAGGGTGTGTCAACAACAAGGGAGACTTTATCAGTATCATTGAGAGGAGGAAATACCTGTCAGATGCCTGTGCTGTCTAACTGTGTAATTGGTGTGCCCAGTTTGGGAAGCCTATCTACACGGGCATCGAACACAATGGGAGAAAACTGTAGTTCGAGACACACAGAGGGGGGTGATATTTCGAGACAAACGTGACCGGTGACATACTGTAGTTCTAGACAACGGGTCGGTATTATACCGTCGACAAACAGGGGGTAGGTGTTAAAACGTCGTTCGTGAAAAACGGATTTCTGTTAAACCGAAGGTCATGAAAACATTGCAGGTGTTTAACCTTAGTTCCGATATGGATACTCCCTGCATAGTTACACTGGATTCAACGCTGTATCCAGTACAGATAGCTTGACTTTACTGTGTTCCGCTTTGTCCATGACCTGTGTTTTGCTTGGTAGCTGCAGAATTTCCGCACTTCTTAACTTGATGTTACGTTTAATCTAAAAGCTCGTAAGGGCAGAGAGGGCAATCAGGTGCTAATGATCCAACTGAAGACTTCGCTGTGAAATGCGCGTTTACTTCAGTCTCTCCCTTGAGTACATCAGTCGGATCAGGTGATTAGGTTCAGATTACATCTCTCCTTCACCTGTCTCCTTCGTGAAGACCAGCGGACAGCCTTCACCCTCACAACAGTGAGGAGCATGTCGTCCTAAACCTAATGTTCTGAATCCCGTAGTAACAGTGAGATGTGGAACAGCCTCTCTGACGCCCACGGACTCGGGGCGGGCAACGTTGGCAACTCTCACTTCCTAGTTGGCCTTATGACAATACACCGTAAATCCAGCATATCCTACGTCAATTAACTTGTTTCCAAAATCAATATCAGCGGACTGTTGGAGACTCAGTGAATAATCTAGTCACCGATTGTGTGATGAAAATGTCAGCATTAAACTGGCTCGGAATGTGTTCCCAGAATGTGTTCCCTGAAAGTGTTCCCTGAAAGTGTTCCCTGTGACTGTAGATGTATCAGAAACCAACCATCCATAGGTTATGGCAGTGTAGCTTTAGGTATGGCAGTTAATTATAGTTTCTCCTCCATTACGCCAGGATCAAAGCCTGAGTCCTTCTCCTTATTAAGGTCACTTTGTCCGACAGTTGAACGCTCTGCTGGACTAATGGTAACTGAGTCGGGTTCAGCGGTGATGTATGCTCTTCAAGATACATGCATGTGGTCAGTGTATCTCATTGTGTCATGTAAAGCCCGGAAATGTATTGTCGGGGATCTGAACCTCCCTCACTCACTCACTCACTCACTCACTCACTCACCCACCCACACACCAACATGACCACACGCCCACACACACCTCACTCACTCACTCACTCACTCACCCACCCACCCACCCACTCACTCACTCACTCACTCACTCACTCACTCACTCACTCACTCACTCACTCACTCACTCACTCACTCACTCACTCACTCACCCACTCACCCACTCACTCACTCAGAGGAGTCGTCAGGTGACCTGGTTGTAAGAGACTCGTACGTGACGGTGTGAAAAACGATGGGATTTTCATTCCGTGAAGCCTGTTCCTGGGATCCATCCATTTTTATCGAATATTGTTCAAAACACCAAACTCACTCGTTTACATAAAGGTGAGGGCACAAGTCTAATCAAGGACTCTCTGTCTCTACATAAGCCATGGCTAGGGGAGTGTACACTGCTTGACGACCAGTGTGACAGGTCAGTTTTAACACTGTACCCGCTGACACTGTGCACGACTGACACTGTGCACGACTAACTCTGTACCAGCTGACACTGTGCACGACTGACATCCACTATATTTTAATGCTATTGATTCTGTTTGTCTTCTGTCTCTGTTGAATGTGGGATCATTAAGTGTCGAAGCTGACATTGACGACAATGTCATCAGTGATACAAACTGACTTCATCACGTTCCATAACACGAGGCCCTGACAGACTGGTGATACTATCGTAGAGTGTTGCCGTCCACGTGCTGGTGCCGACAGCGGAGGTTACCCGATCTTGTTCTATATGTCATGGTAGAAGGTCGGAACTCGAGACTGAAACTCTAGTTAGTGAGACAAGGTTAAAGCAAATACCTCGTGTATATGTGTGTGGATGTTGCGGGGGCCAGCACGTGTAAATTGTGTGTAGTGAGGTTCTGTTGGGGAACAGCTCGTGTGTATTGTGAGGTTCTATTGGGGAACAGCTCGTGTGTATTGTGTGTATTGTGAGGTTCTGTTAGGGAACAGCTCGTGTGTAGTGAGTTTCTGTTAGGGAACAGCTCGTGTGTATTGTGTGTAGTGAGGTTCTGTTAGGGAACAGTTCGCGTGTATTGTGAGGCTCTGTTGGGGAACAGCTCGTGTGTATTGTGTGTAGTGAGGTTCTGTTAGGGAACAGCACGGGTGTTTTGCGGATAGTGTAGTATTACCACGTGCTTAGTTGGAAGTAGTGTGGATCAGGCGGGAACAGCATGTTTGTTTTGCTGATAGCGCAGGTTTACTGGGGAACAACACGAGTCTAATTGGAAGTAGTGTGGATCTGGCGGGGAACAGCACGTTTGTTTTGCGGATAGCGCAGGTTTACTAGGGAACAACACGAGTCTAACTGGAAGTAGTGTGGATCTGGCGGGGGACAGCACGTTTGTTTTGCGGATAGCGGAGGTTTACTGGGGAACAACACGATTCTAATTGGAAGTAGTGTGGATCTGGCGGGGAACAGCGCGTTTGTTTTGCGGATAACGCAGGTCTACTAGGGAACAACACGAGTCTAACTGGGAGTAGTGTGGATCTGGAGGGGAACAGCGCGTTTGTTTTGCGGATAGCGCAGGTCTACTAGGGAACAACACGAGTCTAACTGGAAGTAGTGTGGATCTGGCGGGGAACAGCACGTTTGTTTTGCGGATAGCGCAGGTTTACTGGGGAACAACACGCGTTTAATTGGAAGTAGTGTGGATCTGGCGGGGAACAGCGCGTTTGTTTTGCGGATAGCGCCGGTTTACTAGGGAACAACACGAGTCTAACTGGAAGTAGTGTGGATCTGGCGGGGAACAGCACGTTTGTTTTGCGGATAACGCAGGTTTACTGGGGAACAACACGCGTCTAACTGGAAGTAGTGTGGATCTGGCGGGGGACAGCACGTTTGTTTTGCGGATAACGCAGGTTTACTGGGGAACAACACGAGTCTAACTGGAAGTAGTGTGGATCTGGCGGGGAACATGAAAATACGATGCGATAGCAGCAGGACAAGCTGATACCATTGACGTCAACATGTCTGCGAACAATGGTGTCTGTCACAGGTCACGTGTTCCAGCTGACTGTGTGAGAAACCACTATCTGCCTGTTATGTTTGCTTGGGCGCAGTGATGTTTGCATTATCCATGTTATCGCTGTCGTGCACACAACGTCGCGGGGTTGTGTTGTCGGACTTCGCATGGACGACGTCAATGTCAGTAGACGTCCAGCATGTATTGTGGAGCAAGAGTCAATAAGTACACAGTGTTTCAATTCACCGTAAATTAAGCAAGATTAGACGCCCAAGATGTAATATGACGTATACTTCACAGTGGCTTTGACTCAGGGTCATGTTATTCACATTTGAAACCTCTCTGATGATTCTTCGCATGAAGCTTCTACACAACGCTTCACTTTGTAAAGTTGTCCCCCTTAGTCGTGTCAGGCTCCGATGACCGTAGGTTGAGCGTGCTTCACTTCCATGTTGCCCGTGTTGTGTATTGTTCATAGTGATGTTAAAATCCCTCTCACTCAGTCATACACGATAACTCGACTGAACACACACACAGCCATTTGGGGGTGGAACATCTGGTGTTTTGCCGGGTTGTTACTACAAACGAGTGTCCGTTCATGCTATATATACATAGTCACGAACACCGTAATTGGATTATAAAATGCCAGTCTTGATCTGCCCCAGTTCTGACACAATCAGTATAGATTTCATTATTTTAATGAAACCCGATTACCAATTCTCTCTATTTGCAACTGTGGTTTCAACCGGCATCCTGAAGACATGCAACGTGGACACACCAGCCTTACTGCCTGACAGTAACGTGTCAACGCTCGGACACTCTCAAAAGGGACCCGTGAAGGTCCTGGTTAGAATTTTGGCCTTCACTGACCCATGCTTGTCGTAAGAGGCGACTAACGGGATCGAGTGGTCAGGCTCACTGACTAGGTTGACACATGTCATCAGTTCCCAATTGCGCAGATCCATGCTCATGCTGTTGATCACTGGATTGTCTGGTCCAGACTTGATTATTTACAGACCGCCGCAATATAACTGGAATATTGTTGAGTGCGGCGTAAAACCAAACTCACTCACTCACTCTCAAAAGGCAGGAGTGGACATCTGGAGAGAAACATTAATTTGGAGACTAGTTGTAAATCCTGATGGTGGTGGGGATTGAGTAGGGGTTGATGATTGGGTTGGGTGTTGTCAGAGACGTGTGTCAGGAAGGTTGGATCGGAGAATATTAGGATATATAAAACCGGCCAAACCCTAATATGGACACATCTCACAACATAACTTTATTGTTTTATGTACAAGTATGTTTTAAGGTCAGATAGCAAACTCAGTTTCCGACATTTGTACACAAATTTCCGGACCTGGCCTCTACCTGTTTACACAGATGGACTTACAAACTGTATGCCACCTAGTCTATGGTCAATATGCGAGGGTATCGTTAACCTCTCTACAAACCGCTAAATCTTTGTACTTTCAAGTTTAACACTGATATCGCCCTAGGCTTTGTGTTCCCAGCGCCATGGCAGGGGGTAGAACCCTCGAGGTAGCCAGGTTTAAATTGGGTAGTGTGTGAGCTTGTGACATTATATCACAGTGTATTTGTCAAGTGATTACTTCACTGGGTGATATATGTTTATATAACCCCACGTACAGCACATCGACGACTATATATCCCGTGCATGTCATGTAACAGTGAAACTCAACATGGCGGTGCTTGGTTTCACGGTCTGGCTCAGACACGTTCACTCCTATTGTCTGCCAGGTTATCACGACAAACAAGGCTCTGATACGTGTGCGAGGATAACATAGCTTGTGGAACGCTCAATAAAACACGGAAAACGTGGCAATATTCGCTGTTGCTTCGGACATGAATTGTATTTGCAGTGGGTTGTTTGAAGTACATGTGTATATATTATCAAAGGCGTGTCGGGTGGTTAGGTGAGATAAGATTTAACGTCACGTTCAATATTATTGCACTTACATTGAGACGAGCATGTACGTCTCGGTGTGGGTCTGGCTGGCTCTCAGTGTGTGCGTGTGTGTGCGTGTGTGTGCGTGCGTGTGTGTGTGTGCGTGCGTGTGTGTGCGTGCGTATATGTGTGTGTCCATGCAAATGCACAGACAGCCAAGCAGTATTTTATAGACACGCTTTATAGATAGCAACTTCTTTATTTCGAGAGTGCGACGTTTCCATACAGATTCTTGTACCGTTGTCAAGCATGAATCCTGAGAATCGTTAATCCTGTCATTCCTGCTAGACAACGGTACAAGAATCTGTATGGAAACGTCGCACTCACGAAATAAAGAAGTTGTCATCCATACCGTTTGTCTATATTGTACTCCCCAACTTCTAAATAGCCCCTCAACGAAGTTGCCAAACAGTATTTGTAGACCCGTCAGTTGAGAATAGGTAACATAACGAGACTGTAGACTGGGATGGTATTTCCATCTCCAGTCTATGAGGCTGGGTAGGGATCTTTCAGAAGGGAAAGTCTTTCGGCCTCTCATGTCAATTGACGTCCACCATGATATCGTAGATCAATTCACCGTAAATTAAGTGAGTGAGTGAGTGAGAATGGTTTTACTCCGCGAGTGAGAATGGTTTTACTCCGCTTTTAGCAATATTCCAGCAATATCACGACCGGGGGGGCCAGAATTGGCGTAAAATCAGCAAATTAGACCCCCAACATGTAATGTAATAATGTAATATAAAACCTAACGAGACTGTAGCCTGGGATGGTATTTACATCTCCAGTCTATGATGCTGGGTAGGGATCTTTCAGAAGGGAATCTCTTTCAGCCTCTCAAATACAACGTAAGCACAAGACACAGTGTCATTGAACAGACGTGTGCGCGTGGAGAACAACCTGTTATTTATGAAAACAGAAACACTGTGACAAAAATATAGTATCTACACGAGTAAGTTGGTGGATACACAGGAGCTTGTGAAGCACACATTGACGGCTACAACATACATGAACACTGCCTTGTGAGTTTAGTTTTACGCCGCACTCAGCAATATTCCATCTATATAGGGGCGGTCTGTAAATAATCGAGTCTGGACCAGACAATCCAGTGATCAACAGCATGAGCATCGATCTGCGTAATTAGGAACCGATGACATGTGTCAACAAAGCCAGCAAGCCTGACCACCCGATCCTGTTAGTCGCCGCTTACGACAAGCATGGGTTACTGAAGGTTTTTTCTAACCCGGACCTTCACGGGTAGCCTTGTTACTACATAAGTCATACAGTAGCGAGGTATAATATATAGGGCTATGACAGTGACCACGTGTCCTGTAGCTGTAACATCAGCGTTTCCAGCAGTCCCCGGGGTGTAAAGATACATCTTGAAGTTTGACTTGAAATTAACCATGAAATGTAAATGCAAGTATCAATTTAAACAACGAAATTGATTTCTTTGTGATGTCAAGTTGATGAAGTACAAGCGGAAATATATCCAAATATGTTGCTGGGGCAGGTCTCTGATTTCTACAATCTATTTTCAGGTGGCAATAAAGGTTATAGACAAAAAACGAGCGAAAAGCGACACCTATGTGCGGAAGAATCTGCGCCGGGAGGGGAGACTACTGCAGATGGTCCGTCACCAAAACGTCGTGCAGCTCCTTGAGATCATGGAGACAGAGAACAGCTACTATCTCGTCACGGAGCTCTGTCAGCACGGAGATCTCATGGACTACATCTGCAAGCGGAAGAAGTTAGAAGAAAAAGAAGTGCGCCGATATATACGCCAGATTGTCTCAGCTGTAGACTATTTACATCGCGCAGGGATACTGCATAGGTACGGTTCAATCGTTATTTTGACATTTTCCTGACTTTCGGTTATGAAGCTATTACAAATTAGGCCCCACGCTTTTGACTTTTTCGATTAAGTCAGTTACGTTTTTCCATCTGTTTTACCTTGTCATGTCGTATAGTCAGAAACGCCAGATTGTTAACAGAAACGCCAGATTGATAACAACAAAGGCCAGATTGATAACAGAAACGCCAGATTGTTAACAGAAACGCCAGATTGTTAACAGAAACGCCAGATTGATAACAACAAAGGCCAGATTGATAACAGAAACCCCAGATTGGTAGTAAAAACACCAGATTGTTAACAGAAACGCCAGATTAACAGAAACTCCAGATTGTTAACAGAAACGCCAGATTGATAACAAAAACGCCAGATTAACAGAAACTCCAGATTGTTAACAGAAACGCCAGATTGATAACAAAAACGCCAGATTGTTAACAGAAACGCCAGGCTAGCTATTCTCGAAACGTTCGTAGCCCTACGAACTTCTTAAGCCCATTCTTAACACATTGGCTACGATCAAAGTTAAGAATTCTTAGGGCTACGAACGTTTCGAGAATAAGGGCCCTGATTGTTAACAGAAACGCCAGATTGTTGTTTCAAACGACGTTCATCCGGGACACTGGATGATGCGCATGACACCTGTGTCGTGTCAAAAGTACAAACATAATTGACGCCATAAATAACATGCTAATTGGCTGGTTACCTGAAACACGACGGTGATGATTTCCCGAGTGTTTGAAGCGAAGATACAAGAGGAGGGCGTTTCTATACGATCAATCCCACGCGCCAATACACCAAGACATCCCTCGGGGTGACTAAATTTCACAAGAATTAAAAAGTAAATATTGATCAGCACTGTTGTGTTTCTGCAGCAATGGGATCGGTATTTACTCTAAACTTCCATTGATTTGCTCTCATTCTGTGTGGAAGACCTGGCAATACGCACAGTGGAGGTTAGATGTCTATCGAAGCGTGTCCAATTACATTCACAATATCGCTGTAGTTAAACAGCAGCAATTGACTGGTGACTCAAATACTATTTTGCCAACAAAAAGAACGAAATCAAGAGAGCACATTACAAGAGTGAAAAATACATTTCTGAAAAAATAGCAGTCACGTCTGAAATATCATCGCCACATCGTCGTGTTTTTTTCTGACAACAATTCAGACGTTTCTTTTGAGCGCGACGCGTTAAGATTTGCATCGATTCGCTCGTTCTGGAAAGTGAAGATGAAAATATTGAGAATAAAAGTAGCTTGGTTACTGGATCAACACGGGGATGTAACTGTCCTCCAGGGGGAGGGCTGGGGAGGGGGTAGGTTACCTGGATAGCAGCGTCAATCAGCACAACAAATAGGCAGGTAAATTGTTTGTGCAGACGCCGCGAATGGCCTGGGCTGGGGATATTAAGACGATCACTGAAGGAAACAACATACAAATGAATGTTATATTACCATCATGGATTGAAAAATAATCGGTCATTGTGATGTATAAATACTTTCTAATTTTCATAATTTTGATAGAAGTATGCGAATATCTGTGATGTTTTGTCTTACATTCCAAAGTCACGGATGGTCTTTATGTGAGCGGATAAACGGTGAATTGAACGTTCGTAGACATCAGGACAAAGCCATTATAACAGTGCCAGGAAGTTCTGTGAATATTCCACTGTTTCAACATCGTCAGACTATGCATTGGCCTGTTTCCTTGACAGACAGTCGATATCGTCAATGACGTACAACTTGTATGTACTTATTTGCCCTGGCTTTTCCCTTCGGTTTCGATGAGCTCCCGTTCAACAATAGCAGCTTGGATGAGAACATCGATAACCTAAACACTATCCTTTGTCTGACATGTTTGCCGGATTACAGCACACAGTGACTCTAAATGGCGTATGCCCTTTTAAAGTCGAATTGCTGTAAATGACTTTAGATGACGTGGACTGTACGAGTACTGTTATGAAAAGCCTTTGTTCTATACTAAACGCGAGTATATTCGGTCTGAAGAAGGATGCACTAGTATTACCTACTTATGCTTTGTTATTGATGCATTATACCAGAGAGATTTCACATTTCGATATCGGCTCCTTCCCTACACAGATACCCGTGAAGTTCCGGTTTAGACCTGAACCTATACTTGTCGTGAAGGTAGGCTATGCTTGTCGTAGAGGCATCTAACGGGATAGGGTGGTCAGGCTCGCAGACGTGTTTCATGTATGACATCGTGTCCCCGGTGCGAAGATCGATGTCAATCACTGATCGAATTGGTGGATCGAGACTCGAATATTTACAGACCACCGATATATAGCTCAAGTTTAGCTGAGTTGAGCATTTAGCAATAAACAAACAATAAACAGAAACCTCATCACCTATCACAGGACTGTAATAAACGCAACACTGTATCAACCGGTACCTCACCAAATTCGTGTTCTTCTTTTTAGTCTTTTTTGACAAAAAATGAATCCAGACAAAAAACCTATCGCGTATTTTTGAAGTCCCTCTTACCGGACTAGTTCTGTGCAGGGTTGTCGTTCCTAGGCCTACCAGGAACCTAAGATGATGGGTTCGAATCTCCGTTCTCCCTGATCATGTTTCTCGTGGGTTTCATTGCCGGCAATTACGTCTTAAACATGCATCGCTTAGTGCCTTCTTCCCATGTTGGATAACTGCAATACTGTTAAGTGGAATAAAACCAAATTCATTAACTCCCTTACACAGTGATTAAGGCGCTACGACGCCTGTCGATGTCAATCTACGTTCTGTTTATCTGTTCACGTGTGTATGAATGACACACAGACAACACATTTAAAACATCAATACGCCACTAATTAATTTTAATGCGCCTTAAATCGTTGAGTTGAGTTGCCTCCCTTATCAGTGTCAGGAACTGCATCTTCATTAAATAACTGCAATAATATTCGAAGGAAAGGGCCACTGTGTGTGGCAAGGCGACTGGATGGGCATAGCTGGAATACTTCTGGGTACTGTGTTTAACAACAACCAAATAATTAAGCAAGCAGATGTTATATCCCTCTAAGGACACAACGTTACTGTACGTCCGAGCGCCCCCACACACGTGATATTGTGTGAGATACCAACACACTAACCCGGAATGAGAAACAAGGCATGGTAATATCTTCAGTCTGTGTCTTCCTGCTGATAACTGACCGATATGTATCTGTGGTCAACACTTTGTCCATTACCGTAAAATGGACAGTTAACGCTGAACAATGAACACGATAACTGCTGTATTCCCTAACTTGCTGAGTAGCCGAAGAGCCAAAGAGCAATTCCAGCGCGTTTAATACAGGTATATGGAGAATATGGGTACATATAAGTGTAGGGCACAGTTTAAATCCTTTCTCTCTGTTCACCCAAACGTGTCGTATCAACGTCTAGCTGTGTTTTCAATTGCCGAGCAACTATTCGCACATGAATAGTTAATTGTTTACGTCCACCTTCATGCAGCCAGTGGAAGGGTCAAGGTCATTACGATTACTTGATCAGCAGGGGACGGTCGGGTAGCCCAGAGGTGATAATGTTTGTCAGTGCCGGAGATCCCGGTTCTATTCCCAGATACAATGATTGAATCCTTGACCTCTGCTGTGACAAGTTGTGATAGGACATATCTACATTAACAGACATTCGTTAAAGTTGAATACCACCTAATGGTATCTGATATTACTTAGAGATACTAGTATGACCTATAACCATCATCCGTTAACCGGAAAATATCTGTGGGGTGATCTTTCATCTTTCATCCTTCATCTCGCTGACAACTCCTATACATTGTAGGAAAGACACACAATTGAACTGAGACGTCCAATTAGTGGAGAGACCCTTTCACCTGATGTTCGTCTAAGATCTCTAACCGAGTACATCTACCGGGTATATTTCATGCAGATACATATTTCTATCCTTTAAAGCACGGTGTTCACATTGTCCATGTTTGGAGATATTCACAATGTATAATTTGAAGAGTCTGGCATGATTTTAGAAGTCCAGTATGTAATGAATATTTATTGGAGATAAAAATGAATTCCGTCTATTTTTTCAGAGATCTCAAAATAGAAAACTTGCTCCTTGATGAAACCAAAGATATCAAGATCATCGGTGAGTGTTTGTGTATTTCTCTTCCTTCTCCGGGTCCCGAGTCACAAATTTCGGTTATGTCCCTTATAGTTGGCAGGAGCCGCTTTTTATGTCTTCTAGTACATTTCCCCACCACCCCTGTACCCCTTGGTTTTAACCTAGAGATACATGGCTATGACATACGTCCTCACGGACATACAGTTGCATTGCTCAGACCACGATACGCTCAGGGACTGATTGAAATGGGTTTATTACATCAATCCCGTGTATCCTGGCTGGGCACAGCTTGGCAGGTGTTAGTGGACAGTCCCATTGATCACAACCTTAACACTTGTTGGAAATAATTTACAGCTTATTAATAAATAAAATATTTGTTAGGCTCACGCCTTGTCACTGGAGAGCAGCTACCCATTCAAGTGTTTTAGTGAAGAGTACGTAAATCACGCTGAAGATTGGATGGAAGATGGCAATGCCGCTCTTATCTTATCCCAGGTTTTATTAGATTGGGTCAGTGGCCCCGTTATCCTGAAGTAGGACATAAAGTACTTTATGATAGGGGCATGGAGGGGGATGGCTGGGGGATAGAAATAGATGGTTCTTGGGAACAGGGAGAGGACTTGTGCGGGATGGGACGGGAGGGATGGCTGGGATAGCTAGGTGGTTCCCTGAACAGGGAGAGGACGAGTGTGGGAGGGGGCGGGATGGCTTGGGATACCTAGGTGGTTCTTGGGAACAGGGAGAGGACGTGGGTGGGGTGGGGCGGGGCGTGTGTAAGAGTAGGGTCTGATGAACAGTAAAGGAGTGTGGCTACATGGTTCTATGGGACATGGAGGGTGGGGTGAGGGGGAATGTGCTGTGATAATTACGCAGTGAGAAGGGTTTCACATGTACACACTCTCCTCCGATGGCACGACGGTATGGCGTCAATCTCTGTGTCTATTGTTTCCTGATATTTCGAGATGGTTGTTTACCGCATCTTTGACATTCCAATAAATACTAAACTCTCAGGAAAACGGAAGTACTTTGATGCCTATATTCCCTTGTAACCTGTTTGTGTATGATCTATTATGTTATCAATGACATCCCGCTGTTTGTAGATTTCGGTCTGAGCAACTCCATCAAGGTGATAACTACTGCTGACGGAACCACAGCTCAGGAGTATTGTGTCACACAGTGCGGAAGTCCTGCGTACGCAGCACCGGAACTACTAAGTCACCGGAAATACGGGCCTCAGGTTGACGTTTGGAGCATGTAAGCAGATTCCGCATTTTCAAAATGTCCCCAGTACAGATGAACTACAAATTAACGTACCTACTAAAACGAAGGCCTTGACTGACTCGACACAGCAGACCGCTAGGGGCGTAGCTACCATTATAAAATTAGCCCGGGCTTACACATAATTTTGAAAATATAAGTTGGGCAAACCGTCAATACTATCAAAATATAAAGCTTTGCAACCTACTGGGCTTACACGATAAAATTGGCTTGATACGCGCCTGACCGCTGTTGACCGCTTTGGGCACTATTTGACCCATGGATTCAACAAGGGGAAAAGTTTAAGACAGTGACGTCTGACCATCACAAGTAATCAGATGAATTATACATCCTGAAGCCTATTTCGAGTTCTAATGCATAATTAAAATAGGTCGATCATGTATTGATTGCTATGTGGTCAGTACTATTTGCTTCATCAGGATTTGTTGTTGAATAAGGTTGTTACAAATACTGTTCATTGGATTGTTTAATGCGCTTAATCTTTGGCTAACATACGACTCATTACTTTATAATGATAAAGTTACACCAAGGAGCCCCGATAATGATATGACCTCTTCAGCCAAATAACGACATAATAATAACTAATAACAAATAATAGTGTTATCCTCACTAACCCCGAATTTTTCACGCACACCTTAGCTTCAGTGATTGTATATATAGACAACTGGATCTGCACGACGTGTCTTTGGGTGTCACACAAACCCGAGACGATACAGGTAATACAGCTCAGGTGTAGAATAATTTTGTAAGTCTTGATTGTCTCAGCTTTTGAAATTGAGTATTGTTCTCACTTCAATTTGGATTTGGATTTACCGTTTCATTTTTATACATATATATTTGTAAATATGATATATTAGATATACGCCTTGGACTTAATGTTAGACAAGGTAACTGTAAGCTTACCTATCCCGCAGTAATATAGCTGGAATATTGCTGAAAGCGGCGTAAAACTCACTCACTCACTCACTTGTCATGTGTCGGAGAGGCGGCATCACCATGGTTCTCAGTAATTCCCATAATTACATGTAACTAACGAAACATTACAACACACACAGATATATTAATTGCTATAATTAAATCAAATGATAATTCATGTACTAAACTGAAGGTCGTACACATAATGTCAAATTGTTAGATGAAGGCTATTCAAAGAGAGAACAATTGCTTTCCTACTTTCCTTGGTTAGCAAAATAGAATCATATGGCCGTAATGTCGGTAGAGATTTCTTCATTCAATATGGTTCTGTCGCTTTTCTATATCTGTATTGGGCACGTATCTTTTCCATGGCCAAATTATGACGTCATCTTCCAGTGCGAGAATGTCAAGGACAACAAATATGTTTTTGCTGTGTTAATATTTTAAAAGTAAACAAGTCGAAGTGGTATTATCGCTGCGTAGTCCCACACCATCAGGCCCAGCTTAGAGACACTGTACAACACCGCGCTTCGTCTCACACCAGTAAAGTCATATTTGGACATACCATCTCAGATTGTCCATCATTGGGTGGAGCGCGGAACACCTAGGGTCCGAACTGACTTCAACAATTGTAATCAGCTATTCTGAGTTCCTCCCCACACCAGTGTACATTCTTGAACGAATGAATAACTAATTGACGTGGTTTGATTAACCTGAGTGACCTATGTGACCCCCGGCGCTCGCTGAGCTGCCAGCTCTTAACATTCACCAAGCCCGAGTCAGGTTATCACTGAGGAACACGGGTCAATGATAGGACCACAGATATACTGAGTCATCGAATACCCACTCTTGCTTCCATGCCCGAAATTACTATGAAGTCACTTTAAATGACACGGAAAAACAATCAAACTTGTTTTTTCGAACAATGCATCCACAACCCAAAATGACATCAACAGTCAATACGGCCACACTGGTGTGTTTGTTAAACCGACTAAAACCATTTTCAATATCGGAATATGCTGACGGGTAAGAGTTACCTCCATGTGCGTCTTCCTGTTTCAGAGGGGGTTAATATGTACGCTATGCTGACCGGAAGTCTGCCCTTCACTGTAGAACCGTTCAACATCAAGACGTTGCATGACAAGATGGTCAAGGGCAACATGAACCCTATACCGGAAACCCTGTCGAGAGGTAGGCTTTCTCAACTGAGAGAAATACAGTCACAACACCTTACACGTATGATACGGGAGCTGGCACAGTGTTATTGAAATATGTCTTGACGAACCTAGGTAATGAAACAAACATAAGAGTAGTATTATGCAACTGAAGTTTTACAAAACAAAAGTCTGTTCCTGCACTGGAGACAGCCTAATGATAATACACGTATACTACTCAGATTTAGAAAAGGAGGGTTTGTTTTTACCTTTTTTGTAAGTAGCATACGTACTAAGGGTGGGTTCAGGTCCATGGTGCAGCTGTCAGATGGAAACTTCACTTGCGTATGACACCACATGTCCGTATTTTAACAGAGTGTCGGGATCTGATCCGGAAGTTCTTGACGCCAGACCCGAACAAGAGGATCACGCTACTGGACGCCATGCGGCACCCGTGGCTGACGGAAGGTGAGCTAGGCAAAGTATAGGGATAAGTGAGGGAAAGAGTTGAGTTCAAGACTGCCTTTAACAGTATCCCAGTTACATCACTGGGTGTCAGGTTGTTGGGGAAAGCTAGAAGTCATGCGAGGCTTGGACGCTAAACACTCTGGTGAAGCCTACCAGTATGGTATGGAACGTACAGCTGTGAGGCTTGTCTGGGATTCGATGTCATGGTGACAGGTATCCGAACCTGTCAGTTTTTGTTCTTTGTTTCCCGTCCTGAATTTTCTTTCCTATGTGAAATAGTCAAAAGTTTACTAATCTTAATATGGGAACCCGCTGTAGGAATTTATACCTTGATGTGATACAGTATGTACCCTTACCCTATCGCGCTCATAAAGAAACAGGTCATCTTGATCTTTCTTCGTCTCCATGTATTACAAGTTTCAGAAACAAACCGACTCGATCTACAAAAATTTGTTTACAGATTATACAAAGCGAAGCCAGTTTTAGAGAAATTTGTTAACATAAGAAAAATATAATTGCAGTTTTAAACCTTTGGCTTTAACCACTCTCTTATCTCACATGTAACCTACAAATCTCTGAAGCATATATTTTCTAAAATAAATCAATTTTAGAATTAAATCTTTGGTTTTAGCCTCTCTCTTCTCTTGTATGTAAACAAGTGATCTCTAAAGCATATATTTCATAGGAAAGTCAGTTTCAGTATTTTACCTTCGGCTTTAGCCACGGTTAAGTTACGTGCTCTACCAGCTGCACACACCTTCCCCTAAGGTCTGCCGTGCTGTAATTATAACATGGGAGAACTCCATGCATATTTCATACACGACTCTGCCCGCTCAGCCGTAGTTCCCTAGAAACCAGTGACATAGGTATCCCAATCAATCAGCGGTCCCTCCCATCCCTTCCTTATGAAATTCAATTAATGTCCTTGTATTGTCAGTTGTTCACACGACTTCATTACTGGAGATGGGTACATACTGAAGGAGTTGTAATCACTCAACGGTTCTCTTTAATGAAGCGTGCAGCAGCCATGACTTAGAAACATTAATTGTGTTTCACCGTTAAAGGTCAATGTTGAAAAAGATCGAAGAGAAAAACGACAGAGTGTAATTAGTGCCTTGGCATTGATTTAGATGTAAAAACTAGTAAATGTTTTAGATCTGTTAAAGTTCCATATTCAGTGTTTGAGGGAATTAATATAGACCATCATTAAGTGAACCTATTTTCAAAGATGAACATATGGCATTCCCATACCACATCGCATCATTGATTTGGAGGCTATTATGTAATTATTAAATCCTCAGTTGTAAGCACTTAATGCATTACGAGTTTATTGATACTGTTGTTGCCATTAAGAAATGTTGTTAACCAACATGGCAAGAATTTCTAAAACCTATTTCTTTTCTTTTTACAGGAAAAAATAAATCGTTAGATCGTCCTCCTTTCCCGAACAGGATCAAGGCGGACGCTATCGACGCCAGTATCCTCAAGCATATGAGTGAGCAACTGGGCTTCAGAGTTGGAGAAATCATCAGATTCGTGACCGGAAATGTACCCAGTTCTGCCAACGCCACCTACCAGATGTTTAGCCGGAAGTTGTGTCGGTATCAGGCAGACCTTAGAGTCAAGGGCAAGGTCCCTCACATCGACGGCAGGCTAATGGAACCAACCAAAATATCGCTTGTATTTCAGGTAAACGTTTTCAAGTCCATATAAACCTTTAAATTCGTCAAAAAAGTGTAGCAAGGTTGTTGTGTAATATGTTTTGTATGGTATTTGACAGCTTGGTTGTATTTCAGGAATTACCTCCACGCAATACGTCAACGACAGTGCCCATAAACGCGAAACTCATACGTCGTGGACAAGATGAAGATGACGCTGACATGTCTCCGAGGGTAGTGACGGTGACTCGACAGCCTCATCTGGACAACGACAGTCGAGTCGGCAACGGAGACGACAACGTCGAGAATGAAGAAGGTGAGACTGGAAGCAATTGATTTCAGAGAATGACAGTGTGCACATTGTAATTAATAAACTCACATTGGCTGTGTTTTAGTGTTTTGTGCCTTTTAGATATAACTTTAGCCACTGATGGCACAAAACATTATTCTGAATAAGGCTACATTCAATGCTGTAATTATTAACGTTATCATACAGAATTTGTGAAAACATGCATTAACTGTAAATACTTACTAAATGCGAATTACCGTAGGATTATTCATTTATTCGTAAAATATATTTAAGTAATTTTGTCCGAAAGGTGTGCACTCCACCCATCAGTCCTCTAAGTTGTTACAGAGAGGCGTCCCTTTGTCGTGCCAGAAGTTCGATGGTTCGAATCCCATATTCTCCCTAAATATGACTTAATTTATCCTCACTGCCTGATATTTCAGGTTACAAGGAGGCGTGGTCAAGGCGGGAGGCTGTGAAGGTTGCCCAATCAGCTCCCACCTCCCCTCTGTCCAAGCACCACACACACCCGCAGCCATCTGACAAGCGACCAATCGGAAGCCCCGACTCAGCACGACGACAACGTTTGCCGAAAGGATTTCACAAATATGCTCGAATTCACACCAATAAGTGTTCTGAACTGCGTGCAAAGACCTCGGAATGTCCTAACAAAGGAAAAATATCAGAAAAGGCACCTAGTCGACAAGGTTCGTTTGAACAAGCAGACGGGTCAAAGTCATCAGACGACAACACAACGGGGTTGTTAAAGACACGTGACAACCATGGACGCGTGTTTTTCCACATGGGGAAACGTTTCCACCCGGCCCGAGCCCCAGTGGTGTCATCAAGTCTGAACGTCCAAGACAAGCCAGCATCCCCTTCCCCTGCACATACCCCCCTCATCTCCACCCCCACCTCCAGAGCCAACTCAAACCTGAGCATAGACCTCAGGCCAGGGAATGTCCGCAAAACAATCAGTCACGGGCTGAACAACAGAGACTCATCTTCTAGAGAGGCACCTTCCACAAAAGACACACCCCAGTCGGGGGAACGAGCCGTTCACCCTGGGAGAAAACATGTGCCCCCTAGGAGGATTCTGAAGAGAGTCCAAACTGACCGGAAGATCTCTGCTACGGACAGTGATGCCACGTCGACCCTGGGGTCACGTCAGGCCAGCTCCGTCAGCACCGTCCAGTCGAGAGACTCCAACCATGTGTTACCATCATTATCTAGAACTATACGAAATCATTAACGTGGGATATGTGCATCGAGATAACGCATGTGGCTAGTTCCGGCAAAATGCTCAATATGTTTTTCTTTCATTTTGGACGACGACGTTGAAGTGCTGTCACTGACGTTAGACATTATTTCTGTCCCTCACACAAAACTCACGGTCTGCGTACAGCGCCCCTAGAGGTCAAGGTCAGCTGTGTCAGGCACAAAGCATGCCATACACCGATATCTTGTAAAGAGTAGACTGTCACGGAAAGTCAAGGTCCAGTTGGTCACGAAATAAGGTGATCCAAGGCTCACAATCCGGATATCACATTGTCGTTTTAGTTCAACGTCACTCGGTTAAAAGAGAGTTCAAGGAAACTTATCTTTCCTGTTAAGTTAAGTTATCACGTGATGTATAAGAGTTGTCAATATGGTTGTCCAGAGGTCCGATTTTCGCACATTTTTCGATGCTCCGTACGGACCATAGCACCAGATGGAGTGAACGCCGATCATGAACTATATACGCATCTGTAGCGCGTTACTGGGACGTCTTGCGTCTGTCTGCAGGTGTGGTGGTACCTAAAGACAACACTGTTGATGTCAGATAGAACTCAAGTCTGGTACCGGAACAATCAGCGACATTCAGGGAGGGAATATTGTCGAATTATGCTAAATTGGCGCTTGACAAAGGATGAAATGTTCGGCTTTATTGTAAAAACTACATATTTCGTACTTTGAAAGACTTTGTTAGTGCGTCCAGTTCATATGTTTTTAAATCCCCATAGTATTAAATGACGTCGCATAGACACCAAAGTTCAACACCGGGTATTAACATAATGTATGGTTCTCAAAGCTTTCGTGGAACCGGAAATATGATTTATTAATTACCCATATTGTAAAGTAGGTGAACCCTTGCCAAGTGAAACTATTATCAGAACCGTCCAAGCATGAAGTCATTATGAGCGCCATGTTTAGTGTTATTGCTCCTCGTGAACGTTACAAGACAAGGAGCAGATACTATACGCATGCAGCAATAAATCTGACGTACTGTTACTGTTGAATGACCAAATAAATGATACAGTCTCCTCTTGTAGAACTGTTGGTTACTGCCTTCATATAACACGTGATCTCCATGTAACACATGTTCCCTAGGTAACGCCCCTGACATGGGTCTAACACTGTGTTACGGGTGCTCTCTATAACGCATTTATGTTTTGTTTTGTCTGTTTGCCGCACTCAGCAATATTCCAGCTATATTGCGACTGTCTGTAAATAATCGAGTCTGGATAAGACAATCCTGTGATCAACATGAGAATCGACCTACGCAATACGGATTCGATGACATGTTGTCAACCAAGTCAGAAAGACTACAGTCCGTTTGAGTCGGAAACGGACCGATGAATTGCACATTTTATCATTGTACAAAATTGCCACATAAATATAAATAGTAAGGCCCAGATAACAACTTTTGCGTTTTCAATGATGATAGTTTCTTAAACAACTTTTTTGGTGGAGTCCGGAAAATTTTTGAAAATATAAGAAAGCTGTTGGGTATTAGTAAATGATAAACATGTGTACTATTTATATTTATGTGGCAATTTTGTACAATGATAAAATGTGCAATTCATCGGTCCGTTTCTGACTCAAACGGACTGTACTGCACGCCATTAAGTCAGTTCCACGGCGCGGAGAGCGAGGTCGAGTTGCATTTTGAAGATATGGGTTGGCTCAAGTTATGTTGGGGTGAAAGGTCAAAGCAGCCAGAATAATACTTTCATCTGTATACTAGACTCATCTTAACCGAAGTCTGTGACTACAATTGCGAACGAACTGAGCATTTTGAACCGCAAAATAGTTCAACGGTTCACATAATTTCGACTCTGTATGTCTATATATATGGTGTTCAAGTGTTAAATTGTTAAAATGATGTCTTCACAAAGCTAGAAATAGATATAATACAACTTGCAAGGGAAAGAGAAAGGTAATATGGAACAGAAAAGAAAAGAAAAGAAAATAGAAAATAATATAAATGATCCCAAAAGATTCTGGATTTTGCAAAGGCTTTTGAATCTGTGCAGCAGAATAAACTATGAGGACTTCTGCAATCCAACGGTCTTAGTAGTAAAATGAAGAAAGTGTTGAAGACTATATACGAAAATGTTACGAAAGTGTGTGTAAGGAATAAGCATGAATTATCTGAACCTTTTATTAGTGAACTAGGTGTTAGACAAAGCTGTATTTTAAGCCCCTTTCTTTTTACGTTTTTCATTAAGTGCAAATATGTGACACATATACGAATTGGATCCAACTACACCCACATACAATACAACTATTCTTGCTACTCTCGACCCGTGAAGATCCGGGGTAGAATAGGTCTTCAGCAACCCATGTGCTTGCCATAAAAAGGCGACTATCTTGTCGTAAGAGGCGACTAACGGGATCGGGTGGTCAGTTTCGCTGACTTGGTTGACACGTCATCGGTTCCCAATTGCGCAGATCGATGCTCATGCTGTTGATCACTGGATTGTCTGGTCCAGACTCGATTATTTACAGACCGCCGCCATATAGCTGGAATATTGCTGAGTGCGGCTTAAAACTAAACTCACTCACTCACTCTTGCTACTCTCTGCCGATGACATTGTATTATTCACTAGTACTGTTAACGGTTTACAGAAACAAATAGATGAATTAGACAAATTTTCTGACCAATAAAAATTGTGTGTAAACAGAGACAAAACCAAAATTATCGTCTTTAAGAAAGGTGGAAAACTCTCTAAATTAGAAAAATGGTATTATACAGGGCCACTGCTCCAAACTACCAGTGTTTATAAGTACCTTGGCGTACATTTCTCTAACAGCCTTTCCTGATCCAAACACACAAAACAAGCGTCCGTACAAGCCTTGAAAATTTTAAGCGGTGTTTGTAGTGAGTGAGTTTAGTTTTACGCCGCACTGAGAATTAGGTAGATATCCCTTGTTTATATGTTCTTACATTAAAGCCATAAAGTATTGGGTAAGACCACTGCATATGCCAAGCCACAGGTTTCCGAAAACATGATATAATATGATGAAATTGTATGACGAATATGAGAAAAGAAATTGGGTGACTGATATTAGAGAGTACAAAACTAGTTATGGTCATGTGTGGTGTGATCACAATGTTCAGTTCCATGCAAATTTTATCATACATTTACACAAAAAATGAAAAATATGTAATTTTCCAATATTGGTAGGAATGATACTTTATCCACAAAATGTTTATTATTATAATCAATGTAGTTTTGAAGACTACCGGTATTTAGCAAAAATCGACGTAAAGAAGTTTCGCATAGCTCTCTCTCGTTTTCGTTGCTCTTCCCATGAATTATTTATTGAAACTGGCAGGTATGAAGGTATACAAAGAGAATACAGAATATGTCTATTATGTAATATGAATACTGTTGAGGATGAACTACATTTCCTTCTAATCTGTCCAGTTTATACGACTCTGCGAACGAACTACCTAAAGCCATACTATTATAACCATCCAAGTGGAAGAACATTAATGTCACTATAAACAAATACTACCACATCACTATTACAGAATCTGGCAATGTACATCTATTTCGCTATGAGTTTAAGAAAAAGGTTTGTTATAGAAAAGAATTTGTAAATGACCTCTATCTACTCATGTAAACTTTACATGTACTGCCTGTGGCCTTTAAAGTACTGAATAAAGATTGATTATAGATGTCTGCGTGTTTGAAGGGTTGGGATGCTAGGTCTGACTGGGGATGGTTATATCTCTGTAAGTCAAGAAAGACTGGTACTCACAAACCCTCACTCCGCATGTTCGGGTAAATGAGTTAAAGCAGGTATTTTACGAAGATTGATGTAACTTGCCTGATTGCACACCTGAAACAGCGCACCTAGCTTCATATTTCTCCATTCATCATTTACTAGCCACAAAAAAGAAACTACTTTCGAACACATTGGAACTATATGTGTACATAAATACAGATGTGAGTGTGGATATATTTACAGATGCTAACATATTAATGGGTGAAATGAACACGTGCATGTGCTACGTTTTGTGTCGTCAATGGTTTCGGTATAGTGAGTGAGTTTCGTTTTACACCGCTTTACGATATTCGAGCATTATCACGACGGGGGACACCAGAAATGGGCTTCACACATTGTACCCATGTGGGGAATCGAACCCTTAAGCGTGACGAGAGAAATGGTGCCATGTATACGCCGTGTACCAATTCCGCCAGATAACGTTCTGATTGGGCAGAAGAGTTGCAGAAAGTATGTCAAGCCAATCCATTAGCCTTCCAAGACCAGTTTTATAGGGTATTATAGCTGTTCTCGCTGCTCAGGTTGGCACGGTAGGTCTACCCGTTTCTGAGCTTGTGACATTGTTGCTTGACCCCTGCCGCATTTGTAAGCGTGACGTCAATGTCATTGACATTGAACAAGATGTTCTGTCGTCTTCTTATGATTCTCAACATCCACCTTTTCATTGTTGTTATATTTTCAAATTTAGCAAATTTAACAATGCGCAGTTTCTTGTTGTGGCTAGTATACTCTGTGTACCCATCACTTACCAGATATATGATTGCCATTACCGGATACCTATCAACTTATAATTATACAAAAATTCAAGTATAGTCTAAAATGTTTTATTTACATAACATGATACATGATATCCATTCCAAATGCCATTCAGTAGAAGTAAACAATGTGAGGGCAGTGTGGGGGCAGTGTGGGGGCAGTGTGGGACATGGTAAGATAAATGCATAAACCGGTGCACAGTTCAAGAGCATGACAGTTGCAGCATACATGTCCATAAGAAATAAAACTTCTTATAAAAATGTCCATCTCTTAAACAGACTTAGCAAATGATGTTAAATTTGAAATTAATACATTTATTTCATTCTTATGAGGGAAAAATATTTTTCTCTACAGCTAGTTATTACTCAAATGATATTCCATTGTTATTTGTCAGCTTTGGCAGCCTTGTATCCCTATCCTGAGTTTGAGAGATGAACATGTCAACATGCACGTGGTTGTATGGTTCTGTCTTCATCAGTTAGCACATGGACACCGTAACTAAAAATGAAATCTCACAAATGAATTTGTAAATTAAACAGAAATATCATTCTATAAAAACAGTAAATGATAAAATTTTGTGAACCAAGCCATGTCAAATGCTTGACAAGGACTCAACCTGAGTTATACAATGTGTCTTCTACCCGATATAGAGGAAGTTATAAAGGGGAAGTGAACTAAGGGCTTGCCATCTGGAATACAGATTACAAACATACTAAACCCAGTCTTCCACTTAAGACACAGGTGCAGGTGTCCGATGATTGGACAAAATCTACAGAAGCTCATGAATTTCTCCCCAGATCTAGTTACTATGCATAAGTTACTAGTCGAAAATGAACTGAAAACGAGTTGTATAATAATCCTTGTTGGATCCCATTAATGCATCCCATCCAATATACATGTTCTGATATGAAGCAGGATGAAGCCTCCGACCTCCCACTCTCCATCCACTGGACCATGTGGTCACAGAACAGCAAACATTCACACACAAGTGGTGACACTAGAGCATCATGATATAGATTGTATGTTGGTCGAGAAAGGTGACCCCTCATTTATCTGGCACGTGTAATATGTTAGAAACTTTGTGGTCAATATCCTCTAAAATTCAAGATGTATGAACAACCTTAAAACTGTAAATAAGAGAGATACAAAATAACAGATCCATCGCATGGATATAAATATATTATTTGTACAAAACAATGCCAATAAAAGATTTGTTCATGATAAAAAATAATGCTATAAGATCTTGAGTATTTCTTCTATCTTGTGTTTGTTCCTGAGCAAATCCACGGTGGCTTGATAGGCACTGGAAGTAAAACAGAGCACTGGCACAAGTTCATCACACTTACATGGCATAGAGAGGGGAAATGAGGTTTACATCTCAGTCAGCAATACACCAGCTTTAAACTGTCAAGTCTGGGTAAGAGAGGCAAGTGGCTGATAGCATGAAAGTTGATGCAAATATTCCACAAGTCCTTGGAAACACAATCACTATCATCAAGCTTTATAACATAATATATAAGAAGGCCACACACTAAAAGAGTACCATGAAGTAAATCTTAGTGGCCACACCCATGTTTAACTGTGAGATTAAGAGCGCCTATGATAAATAGTTTGAAGGGGTGCAAAACGAGGTTTTGAATGATTTGGATGGGTCAAACGGATTACATTCTAAATCAAATGAATCATGAAGAGTATTTTGGCATAGTTAGGGCACTGTCAAAATATTTCATTCATGCCATTTCAATTTTTACCATGCTATAACACACAAATTAAGCACCATTTCGATCACTGGGATACCTTTAATCCCATTAAAGATTGTCATATCTTGCTCACTGTTGGATGCAATCGTTCAGACATTAAAGCTACATCTAAGGGAAATAACTCTCTGCCCACAAAAATATCATAGTTTACTTCATTAGGTTGCATGAGTTCAAAACTCATGACATCATGACAGGGAAACATTTCATCATGAAATAACACATGCCTCATCAATGTTCTCTGCAATACATAATATAGCTATCTTTACATAATACAAATCTGAGAACTACTCGGGACACTTTGGTAAATGTTCAAAGTTTTTTAACTCATGAGGTAAATAGTTGTGAACATTTCACAACATATATAAGAGACACTATATCATCTGAATTCTCAACAAATATAATTGTTTTTCTGAGTTCTATCTAGTTTTATATTTTCCTCAGACCAACTTCTCCCTCGGCAGAACGGATAAGAACCAAGCAAACAATCTGGATGTCCTTAACTCATCTCACCTGCCTTCCCTGATGATACGGAACTTGCCCTCTATGGAGAGATCAACAACTGTAGATCCAAGTCTCGACTCTTCTGTGTCACCAAGTTGACCACCATCAAATATCAGATCTAGTCGGGGCCACAGTGACTGGAATTCCTGAAGCATGGATCAAAACATTATTGAAAACTAACTGAAAATGCATCTAGATTGACTCAACCTCGAAAAGGTTGCTAATGTATGCCAAACATATTGTCTTCATGATAGATTAACTATCATAGAATGGGACGCCTGATTCCTGAGTATTGAATTATTATTTGGTGAAGTACCCCCAAACCAAAATCCTGTGCGTCCTTGTGGATGCAATATAATTTTTTTCTGGGAAAGAACTTTTGTAATGGTATCCCATATCAAAATATAAACATTCTGTTTTCAATCATCATTCTAATGACATTGAAAGTAACACACATTATAACATAATCATTATCAAATGGGAAGCATCCATGATCATTGATGGAGTCATTGGACCCCCAATTTTGGAAATGGACTCTAAAAAAACTATGCCCAGAGTCCCAAGAACTCCCAGTTATAAAGGGCTATGTTAAACCCTGCTCTGTGTGGACTGATTGAGTGAGTAATAAAAGATGTGAATATGATGTGGATGATCATACTTCAACAGACAAGGTGCTTTGAGATCCACTGGAGTTGGCACTTGTCAGCGCAATTGGTCCGCCACAACTTCTGCAGAGTGCTCTGATGAAATCGTGGTCAGGGATACGGACACCAACCAGTTCTGTGTTGGGGTTCAGTTCTGGGTTAAGTTCCTTGCTCCTCTGCATCACCACGGTAACAGGACCAGGAAGGAGATCCTGCAGCACCTCCTCCGAGACAGTCACCTTGCTCCATCTGCAACAACACACCACACCATCATAACACAGCATTGTAACGTTGAATACTTATGGCCCACAGAACCCATTTTTAGGTGAACATTGTTGACCAAGTTTGTCCCTGAGCATGTTGTCATCTGTTCCTCTTTCTTTCTGTCTTCTGACAAGTAAGGGCTACAAGGTCCTCTCAGAATTACAAGTGCTTTTTATTCATCAAAGGAATCACTATAAAAACAATCATGAATATGACTTCCAAAGTGCATGTATATGACTTCTGAAGTACATCAAAACCAGCATGAGAAAGGTGCAAGTTTACCTGTAAATATCCTGAATGTCTCCCACACTGATAGCTATGGGCTTCTCTAAGTTCCTCTGTTTAATGTTGTATATTTCTGCAACAGCATTACTGTTTTGAGCAAGTCCTGCCACTCCATAAATAGTGTCTGTTGGAACAGCTATTACATGACCAGCAAGCAAACTCTTGGCTCCAGACATCACACTCTGCACCATATCTACAAGAAAGAAATCATCAATAAAAACTAAACAGATCAACTTTCTATCTTCCAACCTCAATAGTCCTTGGTGCAAGATAAATCCAAGATACTTAGTGAACAACCAACAAGGTACGAGTGGTAATGGGAAATATGTTCCGGGTGAAATTAATATTCACTGTAGTGAGCTTTAGCGAGGGACTTGAACATATAAATTCTTTCAGAAGCATTTAGAAGTTGGAGTACCAAGTAAGGACAACATATATTGATGAACAACTTATTTATTACAATGAGGATGGATGTTTTGGTTGTGATTCTAACACTGTTATCTAGTCCTATTTGGACTAAGTAAGTATTTTCCGACAGATGGTTAGACAGTGTAAATTAACTGAGAACTAAAAAACAGGATACTTATAATCAGCATATAATAATTACTGGTCTAATGTGATGAAGAAAACATTAAATGCTTTTAGAAGTTGTGCTGCCAGCTTGAAGCTGAGCTAGGATAGTGAGATAACTACCCATCACTTTAGGTACCCAGAGGAGATTTCTCAAACTTATATAGGATAAAATTGCAGAATCTTGTGTAATGATGTTTAATTTGCAAAACAACTGGAATTGTCTGTTTTGTTCTCAACCACTCATGTGTCCTCTCCTTTCTGTCTTGCCTGGTCCTGCAAGTAAGGCTTTTTTCCCTTCATCTTTTTAACTTTTTAATCACCCTCTCTCCCTCCCTACTCTTGTTCTTTTTATTGTCATGACTATATTTTTTCTTACTCAGCCTCAGGACACATTGTTCTGCCTAAATCTACTAAAATATTTCATCTGCTCTTGTCGCTTATGACTCATAGCTCTGTTGTTACCATGATTATGATGTCTGTGCTGTTTATAGTATTTTAGGCCTGTGGTGGTCTGTGTGATATTTTTCACCTCAGCGACTTGTTTACCTATCTTATTAAACTCCACCTTCACCACCAAACATGTGTTTGTTAATCTTCTTCATTATTTTAAGGAAGTCTAGCAAATCATAAAGAGATGTGAGAAACTAATCCTTTCCGTAACACAAAACTTACCCATATACCAATTTTGCCACTGATGATATCTAATTACATCGTAACAAATTAATGTCTATCACCTCACTTGCATGTGTTTTGTAAGTTGTTTGGCACATTGTCTAGTGTTTTCTTTCACCATGTTCACTATTGACAAACAAGCAAAATATTTTCTAATAGAGCTAATGACACCACATAGTGATTCTAAAAATGATACCTAATTACCCATCATTTTAGGTACCTAGAGGAGTTTTCTCAAACTTATATCGGATAAATTCATATAAATAAACTCGTATTCCAGCCGGGCACACGTTGATATAGACGACGAATTTGATGATTTTACGTCGGCTTCTGGCGTTGATGATAGTGCCAAGTCGTCTAGTTATATGCTGGACTAATACCGGATAAATGTATTAAATGAGAATCTACCATTTCCCAAAATACAATTTACCCATATTCTAACTTTGCCTTTGGGATGATACTAAATTATATCGTAACAATTATAAATAATTATGGTCTTGCTTTGTAAAACTTACCAATTTGCGAGTTGGGACCGTCCAGGTCAACAGGAATAATTTTAGCCATGGTACTTTTCTGGCAGTTACGGAGCCTCGTTAAATATGTTCTGATCATAACATGTCTTACAACGAATATTGAAAACATGCAACAGTAATGTCGGTTTGTGCAAGAACGGGTTTCCAACACATTGCATCACCTGGGCGCAGACATGATGGTTTCAAATCGAGGCTTCGGGTGAGTTGAAAATATGCACTGGTACATTTGTATGTAAGCACAGAAAAAAGTTGGTAAATTTTGTATGCATTCGCTTTCTTGCATTTGTATAGTACCTTTATCATCTTACATATTTAACGTAATTCACAAAGGCGCGTTTTTCTTTGAAGGATATATTTGGGGTTCATTTTTCGTAACTTGTTTACAGTTCATATTTTGTGGTGAGTGAAGGTGAAGGTGTGCAGTATGGCTGCCAATAACACTATGACATCTTTGCTCAAGTTGAGAAACATTCAAACGTTGCCCACAATTCCAGTTTGCAACTCTGTATTAGTAGACAGTCAATAGCATCCGATCTTGAAATATGTCTTGCGGTTATTACACAAACACCTTCACGAGAACTCGACATTTCTTCAAATTATACGGGTTAAGACCCAAACATGATAGATGTTGCCCAATGCACCGTAGTCAAATCATGTATCTTCCAAGGTGTATTCAAGTGTGCCAGTATCATTCAAGTCAGTTGATGAGGCATTCACAGAAAACCGTATCGACCAATAGTTTCAAATGTAAAGTAGAGACAGGCCCAGGATTGAAAGAGTTTGTGACAAATGGACGATTAAGCCCTCCTTTGCAGAATGATTGTGGCGAGAGGATTCCGTATGTTGACGATGCAAATTACTGTGGACAAAACAGAAAAGGTAGATAATCATGGTTCACCCACTGTTCAATTTGCAATGAAATACGCCATTTTAATATGGAAATATTTCAGACTGCTTCGAATAATATTATGTATAATTTAATCAATGTATAAAGCAACATTTGCATCATGATGGGAACAGATAGGAACTTTTGGAGATTATAATGAGAAAACAATATGTTATGTATGAGTATAATGATAGTAAGGGCAGTGGGTAGGTTTGAGGCTGATGTATTGTCCCACCAAAGGCCTAGGTTTGATTCTCCTTAGTGGTGTAGTGTGTGAAGTCAATTCTTGGTAATTCCCTGCCTTGATCATGTTGATGTTAAAAGCTGTGTGAAACTGAACTCACTCAGTGTCACGATTACTATTTGTTATAAATGACATAAATGAAGTGTAATATGCAATGATAGAATTTTATTACAATCAGCTGGTCATTAATTATTTTCAGTTTATTTTGAAACCTATGGATGTCAGATGAATGTAAGTGACACGGAAGTTGCCTGGTCAATCCTGCAAAAGAGTGATTTCTCAAGAGCCAACAATGTGAAAGAGGTATGACGAGGGACTTTTCAAGATAGTCTTTGATGTTTTGTGATACTTTGGCATGTCAGGAATTACCCAGTGTTGAAACCTTTAAAATGCATTTCAACACAATTCAGTATATTTTTGTCCCTATACAATATTTAGATTTGTCACATCCCAAACAATACAGAGAATTCATGTGTATAGACCCTAGTATAAGTAGTGAAACTAATAAAAGCATAACAATTAACATGTATTATGTGTGCAATAATAGACACATGTGCAAAAATAGACACAATGAAGCATGAATATATTTTAGGTAAACATGTTGTGGTAAATAATCCTGTTTGGTAATGGTTACAAATAATTTGGAAAATGCTGAAAATTAGCTGACATGATTTGAGGCATTGAATGTTTAGATGTCGGCTGAAATTAATAAATTTAGTTTTAAGACTGTGTATCGTATGTGTAACTGCTTATACATGTACTGCCGTCTGCAGGCCGATGTGGTGTTGGTGATGACGTGTGCTATCAGGGAGGGTGCAGAGGAAAAGATCTGGAACAGATTGGAGTATCTAAAGTCATTAAAGACAAGGCGGGGCAAGAAAGCAACACCCATGAAAATAGGAGTATTAGGTACTGAAATATACTATGCAACATGGCAGAGATATGTCATAATGCAATCTAACATGATAACCATTTATTGAAGTGTGTATGTATATGTATATGTAATTAACTTGAAATGAAGCTGCACATGTTTAAGTTTGAAGACAAATTCAGACACTGTTTGTATGACAACAACCCGTAACATTCAGATATTACCTGGATACTGACTATCCCTATCACAAGTTTAGTAGTACACTTTATCATGTTTATCGTAATGATGCGTGACAGAAACACACTTAAATTTAATTCAGCTTTTCAGCAGTATTTACCTGGTACACATATCACATCTAGTCAGTTATTTGAACCTAATTACATGAGAGCAAACTGATGTAATTACTTCCATGTCCTTCTACATTTCCTCAAGGTTGTATGGCTGAGCGGTTGAAGTCCAAGATTGTAGACAGAGAGAAGATGGTGGACTTGGTATGTGGACCTGATGCCTACCGAGACTTGCCGCGCATGTTGGCCGTCACACAGAGCAACCAGGCGACAGGTCAGGTGCCATGCGTTCATAGCAGGGATTCAGTGTTCACATGTAGTTTGGCAACAAATACACACAGATTGTTTTCTTCATTCACCTGATGGAGTAACAATCTACTCCGAAACACCATGTTCCTCATATTACAGATGTCAGCATCCATAACCTCTCCCCTTTAGGTGTATCACTTCTAAACACCATTCAAAGATTCACATGTTTTTTAGAAAACCATAATCAAAAAAGTATTTGAACCATTGTTTTTTAGATATTCAAGGGAGGCAAACGTGTCTTAAGGACAAGAATTGAGGATTAAGCTTTGAGGCAATATAGAGTTACTGGATTATGTATGACAGAATATTGTACAGAAGCCCTCTAAACCGGCAGCCCTCCAATCCGGCATGCTCTCAATATCAGCACTCGAACTTGGTCCCGGTAGAAGCTAATTTATGATCATAAACTGTCCTCTAAGCCAGCACGTCCTCTATACAGGCATTTTGTGCCGGTTTAGAGGGCTTCCACTGTACCTTATTGAAGATTTGGACAAGCACATTATACACTTATGTTATGTTGTCATCGGCATGAAAGTAAACTATTAAGTACTATTAGTTCAGTATCAGATTGTTACAATATTCTTGAATTTGTAAAGAGAGGTGATTTAGCCTATATACCCTGGTATATACTTTATTGAACAAACTATTCCTGACATCTGTGTAATGCCAGATTTTCTGATTTCCATGAAGCAGAAGTGTTTTGTTGGCCATTTATAATGTATATGGTCAAATTAATATAAACAGAAATACTCCAGTTGTGTATCTCACCTATGAAGACATGATTGTTCTAGTTCTTCAACAACATGTATGTTAATTGTTGTCTGCAGTTGAATGATTGTTCTCATTAAGTATCGGTAGTCTAACATCTGCTGCTCTCATGTGTTAGCATGAATGATCTGTTTCTCTCTTTCTGTACCCGTGGGAGACTGTGGGGTCACACAAGCTACAACAGAGTTGTAAAGTGTCCCTTGGACAAGCTACAAGCCCATGATCATGGGTTAACATCCCAGATTCACTCTGATTGTGATCACTGGTTTGTCAGCACCATACTGATTGCCATGGTTTCCATGAAGGTGGTAAACACATCACACCATGAAGGTAGTGAACACATCACTCCATGAAGGTGGTAAACACATCACACCATGAAGGTGGTGAACACATCACACCATGAAGGTGGTTAACACATCACACCATGAAGGTGGTGAACACATCACACCATGAAGGTGGTAAACACATCACACCATGAAGGTGGTGAACACATCACACCATGAAGGTGGTGAACACATCACACCATGAAGGTGGTAAACACATCACACCATGAAGGTGGTAAACACATCACATCTGGCTGTCTTTCCACATTAACCTGACACGTTGTCACTCACTCACACACACACGCACTCACTCACTCACTCTTGTTGCAGTGAATGTTCTACTGTCTCTTGAAGAAACGTATGCAGATGTTGTTCCTGTGAGACTCAACCAAGATTCTAAATCAGCATTTGTGTAAGTGTCTGCATAAGATACCTCAATGGAAGATACTCTTCAGCTATGATCTGTTTTTACAAAAAAAGTTATAATTTGCATTAGAAAATACATGTATGAATATGTGTGTTACCTTAGTTTCATTATGTACTGGTGTAAAACTTTCATATGAAGATAATGAAGAAAACACAAATTATTATGCTGCAGTCTCTTTTGATTTTTGTGTCCAGCGCCCAGTTCCACAAAGCGATGGTAGAACAAATAACAGTCTTTGTTAAGTATGGGTATCACTATTACCTTAGTGCTGAATTGTTTTCTTGAGCGGAATCCAGATACTGTGTAATTTTAGCCAGTGGTACAACTAATATCATGTCCATCTGTATTGTCTTCCACCATATAGCTGGAATATTGCTGAGTGCGGCATAAAACTAAACTCCCTCACTCACTGTATTGTCTTGTCACCATTATCACAGTGCGAGTCCTTGATGTAGTAACCTAGGGAATTACAGTTTAGTACGTAACTGAGATATTTCTGCATGAAGATTCAGGATGTTCCCGAGTCAGGTGTAGAGGGCGTGGTACATGTGATGGTGTTTGTTGCCAGGTCGATCATGCGTGGTTGTGACAACATGTGTACGTACTGCATTGTGCCGTTCACTCGCGGGAGGGAGCGGAGCAGACCCACCTCCTCCATACTGGATGAGGTGAAGGGACTCTCAGAGCAGGTGAGTGTCTGGGACTGTTTCACCTGTACACACCTGTACAATCCTGCTGCAGTGTCACCTGTACACACCTGTACACACCTGTACATTCCTGTTGCTGTGTCACCTATACACACCTGTCGTCTCCTTTTAACAAATTTACAGTTTATATTTCTGCAATTTAAACATTTACAGTAAACAGGTGTGAATTAACACTGATGGCTCATGTCATGTATCTGTGAATGGATTCCGAGTTAGAATCGGTCCCAAACAGGAGGTGACTTAATGGATCAATGACTTGCTTGATGTATGAACAGACAGATGAAAAATATCAGTCACTGATATGATGCATGGTGTTGGTCCATAGGGAGTAAGGGAGATAGCTCTGCTGGGACAAAACGTCAACAGTTACCGTGATACCTCAGAGCAGACTCACAAAGTCAGCAGCAACCAGCTGAGTGCAGGGTTCAGAACGGTATACAAACCACGGGAGGGAGGGCTGAGATTCGCTGACCTGTTGGAGAAAGTGGCATCTGTTGACCCCGAGATGAGAATCCGGTTTACATCACCTCATCCTAAAGACTTTCCTGACGAAGTAAGAATGTGTGAAATAGTTGTAGCATGTTGATATTTTGCTTTTAGATTCCAGTTTATTCTTAAGACTTTCAGGAATATGGGTTTGTGATTGCCAAGTCTGATGGAAAGTGAACACATTCTTGACAAATACACATTATTACAAGCGTGTTAGTGGGGTTGGGTTATACTTGTGGTTAAAGCAGTGTCTTGTGATGCTGATTCTTGACATGGATAACTTGTGTAAAGCCCACATCTGGTGTCCGCTGCCCTGACATTGCTGGAATATTGCTTAAAGTGAATAAAACCATACTCACTCACTCACTACAAACATAAACACACCACTGACATAGAAAGGAGTTAGCACACCACTGACATAGAATAGGAGTTAGCACAATGGTTAAAGCGTTCGCTCATCACCATGATCACACTGAAGGCCCAAGTTTGATTCCCCACATGGGTATAATGTGTGATGTCCATGTCTGGTGTCCCCCCACCGTGATATTGCTGGAATATTGCCAAAAGCGGGTAAAACCCAATTGACTGACTCACTCATGGCTATTAACAAGTTTCTATTCAACCCAGTTTGGCACACCTGACCAGGTAGGTGGGTTCTCCAGTTCATTACATTTTGGTGGATCTCTGTCAAAGCTTAAATATATAATCTGTGAAATGAACAACCTATTAAATGAAGCACCTCTAAAATAAGTTGACTATCTTTGTTATATGGGACAGTGGAAACTACTAGACTCAAGATGGCTGTCCTAATTGCTCTCTGTCTCTGTCCCATTTACCATGAAAAATGCAAGATCTACAGTAGTTGCTCTGAATGAATCATGTTTTCTCATTCCAATCTAACATCAGTTTCCCATATCAGGTGCTGCATCTGATTCAAGCGACGCCCAACATTTGTACACAGATCCATCTGCCGGCCCAAAGTGGCAACAATGAGGTGCTGGCTGCCATGAGAAGAGGCTACACCAGGGAGGCCTACCTTGACCTGGTCAACCACATCAGGTCCATCCTGCCTGGTAGGTCTATGTCAGGTTCATCCTGTATGGTAGGTCCATGTCAGGTCCATACTGTATGGTAGGTCCATGTCAGGTCCATCATGCCTTCTAGGTTCACATCAGGTCCATCCTGTCTGGTAGATTCACGTCAGGTCCATCCTGTATGGTAGGTCCATGTCAGGTCCATCCTGTATGGTAGGTCCATGTCAGGTCCATCCTGTATGGTAGGTCCATGTCAGGTCCATCCTGTCTGGTAGGTCCATGTCAGGTCCATCCTGTATGGAAGGTCCATGTCAGGTCCATCCTGTATGGTTAGGTCCATGTCAGGTCCATCCTGTATGGTAGGTCCATGTCAGGTCCATCCTGTATGGTAGGTCCATGTCAGGTCCATCCTGTATGGTAGGTCCATGTCAGGTCCATCCTGTATGGTAGGTTCACGTCAGGTCCATCCTGTATGGTAGGTCCATGTCAGGTCCATCATGCCTTCTAGGTTCACATCAGGTCCATCCTGTATGGTAGATTCACGTCAGGTCCATCCTGTATGGTAGATTCACGTCAGGTCCATCCTGTATGGTAGGTCCATGTCAGGTCCATCCTGTATGGTAGATTCACGTCAGGTCCATCCTGTATGGTAGGTCCATGTCAGGTCCATCCTGCCTGGTAGGTTCAACTCTTTGTCATGCCAAAATATATAAAAGAATATTACTGTTGTTAAGGGTATAAAGCAAGACTATCCAGTGATCAACAGCATGAGCATTGATCTACGCAATTGGGATACAATGACATGTGTCAACCAAGTCAGCGAGCCTGACCACCCAATCCTGTTAGTTGTCCCTTACGACAAGCATGAGTTACTGAAGATCAATTCTAACCGGATCTTCATGGGTTATATATCAATAAAAACTTGTGGCATGGTATGTCACTGAATAAAACAACATTAATTCAGAATAATACAAACAGCCAAACCCACTCATGCTCACATACACATACACACAACTCAGCTCAACTCAACTCAACTCAAGTGGTCAAAAGATTCAGGTCAATAGGTTCTCATCAGGTCCATCCTGTTTAACCATGTTTACCTACTATACACCCTGGTATTACAAATGATCTTGTTATATGAATATTCACATGAGAATCAAAAAGGTTACATTTGCATCCGTCAACATGGTCTGTCTACTCCAGGGGTGGCCTTGACGAGTGACTTCATCGCGGGTTTCTGTGGGGAGACTGAGACAGCTCATCACGACACCCTGGACCTCATCAGACGAGTCCAGTACAACTTCGCCTACTGCTTCCCCTACAGCATGAGACAGGTGTGGATGGACTCACGAACTGCTCTGTCAGCTGTGTCTGTCCCTGTAGATTCTGTCCTGCAGCATGAGACAGGTATGGACTCACGAACTGCTCTGTCAGCTGTGTCTGTCCCTGTAGATTCTGTCCTACAGCATGAGACAGGTGTGGACTCACGAACTGCTCTGTCAGCTGTGTCTGTCCCTGTAGATTCTGTCCTACAGCATGAGACAGGTGTGGACTCACGAACTGCTCTGTCAGCTGTGTCTGTCCCTGTAGATTCTGTCCTGCAGCATGAGACAGGTGTGGACTCACTGAACTGCTCTGTCAGCTGTGTCTGTCCCTGTAGATTCTGTCCTGCAGCATGAGACAGGTATGGACTCACGAACTGCTCTGTCAGCTGTGTCTGTCCTGTAGATTCTGTCCTGCAGCATGAGACAGGTGTGGACTCACGAACTGCTCTGTCAGCTGTGTCTGTCCCTGTAGATTCTGTCCTGCAGCATGAGACAGGTGTGGACTCACTTTTGTAACTGCTCTGTCAGCTGTGTCTGTCCCTGTAGATTCTGTCCTGCAGCATGAGACAGGTGTGGACTCCTGAGAACTGCTCTGTCAGCTGTGTCTGTCCCTGTAGATTCTGTCCTGCAGCATGAGACAGGTATGGACTCACGAACTGCTCTAGGTCAGCTGTGTCTGTCCCTGTAGATTCTGTCCTGCAGCATGAGACAGGTGTGGACTCACGAACTGCTCTGTCACTGCTCTGTCAGCTGTGTCTGTCCCTGTAGATTCTGTCCTGCAGCATGAGACAGGTGTGGACTCACTGAACTGCTCTGTCAGCTGTGTCTGTCCCTGTAGATTCTGTCCTGCAGCATGAGACAGGTGTGGACTCACGAACTGCTCTGTCAGCTGTGTCTGTCCCTGTAGATTCTGTCCTGCAGCATGAGACAGGTATGGACTCACTGAACTGCTCTGTCAGCTGTGTCTGTCCTGTAGATTCTGTCCTGCAGCATGAGACAGGTGTGGACTCACGAACTGCTCTGTCAGCTGTGTCTGTCCCTGTAGATTCTGTCCTGCAGCATGAGACAGGTGTGGACTCCTCACGAACTGCTCTGTCAGCTGTGTCTGTCCCTGTAGATTCTGTCCTGCAGCATGAGACAGGTGTGGACTCACGAACTGCTCTGTCAGCTGTGTCTGTCCCTGTAGATTCTGTCCTACAGCATGAGACAGGTATGGACTCACGAACTGCTCTGTCAGCTGTGTCTGTCCCTGTAGATTCTGTCCTGCAGCATGAGACAGGTGTGGACCCTGTAGATTCTGTCTGCTCTGGACTCAGAACTGTGTCAGCTGTCCCCTGTAGATTCTGTCCTACAGCATGAGACAGGTATGGACTCTCTGAACTGCTCTGTCAGCTGTGTCTGTCCCTGTAGATTCTGTCCTGCAGCATGAGACAGGTATGGACTCACGAACTGCTCTGTCAGCTGTGTCTGTCCCTGTAGATTCTGTCCTACAGCATGAGACAGGTGTGGACTCACGAACTGCTCTGTCAGCTGTGTCTGTCCCTGTAGATTCTGTCCTGCAGCATGAGACAGGTATGGACTCACGAACTGCTCTGTCAGCTGTGTCTGTCCCTGTAGATTCTGTCCTACAGCATGAGACAGGTATGGACTCACGAACTGCTCTGTCAGCTGTGTCTGTCCCTGTAGATTCTGTCCTGCAGCATGAGACAGGTATGGACTCACGAACTGCTCTGTCAGCTGTGTCTGTCCCTGTAGATTCTGTCCTACAGCATGAGACAGGTATGGACTCACGAACTGCTCTGTCAGCTGTGTCTGTCCCTGTAGATTCTGTCCTACAGCATGAGACAGGTGTGGACTCCTGAACTGCTCTGTCAGCTGTGTCTGTCCCCTGTAGATTCTGTCCTACAGCATGAGACAGGTGTGGACTCCTCACGAACTGCTCTGTCAGCTGTGTCTGTCCCTGTAGATTCTGTCCTACAGCATGAGACAGGTGTGGACTCACGAACTGCTCTGTCAGCTGTGTCTGTCCCTGTAGATTCTGTCCTGCAGCATGAGACAGGTATGGACTCACGAACTGCTCTGTCAGCTGTGTCTGTCCCTGTAGATTCTGTCCTGCAGCATGAGACAGGTGTGGACTCACGAACTGCTCTGTCAGCTGTGTCTGTCCCTGTAGATTCTGTCCTACAGCATGAGACAGGTATGGACTCACGAACTGCTCTGTCAGCTGTGTCTGTCCCTGTAGATTCTGTCCTACAGCATGAGACAGGTATGGACTCACGAACTGCTCTGTCAGCTGTGTCTGTCCCTGGAGATTCTGTCCTGCAGCATGAGACAGGTGTGGACTCACCACGAACTGCTCTTGTCACTGCTCTGTCAGCTGTGTCTGTCCCTGTAGATTCTGTCCTGCAGCATGAGACAGGTATGGACTCCTGACGAACTGCTCTGTCAGCTGTGTCTGTCCCTGTAGATTCTGTCCTGCAGCATGAGACAGGTATGGACTCACTGAACTGCTCTGTCAGCTGTGTCTGTCCCTGTAGATTCTGTCCTGCAGCATGAGACAGGTGTGGACTCACGAACTGCTCTGTCAGCTGTGTCTGTCCCTGTAGATTCTGTCCTACAGCATGAGACAGGTATGGACTCACGAACTGCTCTGTCAGCTGTGTCTGTCCCTGTAGATTCTGTCCTACAGCATGAGACAGGTATGGACTCACGAACTGCTCTGTCAGCTGTGTCTGTCCCTGTAGATTCTGTCCTGCAGCATGAGACAGGTATGGACTCACGAACTGCTCTGTCAGCTGTGTCTGTCCCTGTAGATTCTGTCCTACAGCATGAGACAGGTATGGACTCACGAACTGCTCTGTCAGCTGTGTCTGTCCCTGTAGATTCTGTCCTACAGCATGAGACAGGTGTGGACTCACGAACTGCTCTGTCAGCTGTGTCTGTCCCTGTAGATTCTGTCCTACAGCATGAGACAGGTGTGGACTCACGAACTGCTCAGCATGAGACAGGTGTCAGCTGTGTCTGTCCCTGTAGATTCTGTCCTACAGCATGAGACAGGTGTGGACTCACGAACTGCTCTGTCAGCTGTGTCTGTCCCTGTAGATTCTGTCCTACAGCATGAGACAGGTATGGACTCACGAACTGCTCTGTCAGCTGTGTCTGTCCCTGTAGATTCTGTCCTGCAGCATGAGACAGGTATGGACTCACGAACTGCTCTGTCAGCTGTGTCTGTCCCTGTAGATTCTGTCCTACAGCATGAGACAGGTGTGGACTCACGAACTGCTCTGTCAGCTGTGTCTGTCCCTGTAGATTCTGTCCTACAGCATGAGACAGGTATGGACTCACGAACTGCTCTGTCAGCTGTGTCTGTCCCTGTAGATTCTGTCCTACAGCATGAGACAGGTATGGACTCACGAACTGCTCTGTCAGCTGTGTCTGTCCCTGGAGATTCTGTCCTGCAGCATGAGACAGGTGTGGACTCACGAACTGCTCTGTCAGCTGTGTCTGTCCCTGTAGATTCTGTCCTGCAGCATGAGACAGGTGTGGACTCACGAACTGCTCTGTCAGCTGTGTCTGTCCCTGTAGATTCTGTCCTGCAGCATGAGACAGGTATGGACTCACGAACTGCTCTGTCAGCTGTGTCTGTCCCTGTAGATTCTGTCCTACAGCATGAGACAGGTGTGGACTCACTGAACTGCTCTGTCAGCTGTGTGTGTCTGTCCCTGTAGATTCTGTCCTACAGCATGGAGACAGGTATGGACTCTGAACTGCTCTGTCAGCTGTGTCTGTCCCTGTAGATTCTGTCCTACAGCATGAGACAGGTGTGGACTCACGAACTGCTCTGTCAGCTGTGTCTGTCCCTGTAGATTCTGTCCTGCAGCATGAGACAGGTATGGACTCACGAACTGCTCTGTCAGCTGTGTCTGTCCCTGTAGATTCTGTCCTACAGCATGAGACAGGTGTGGACTCCTGCACATGAACTGCTCTGTCAGCTGTGTCTGTCCCTGTAGATTCTGTCCCTGTGTGCATGAGACAGGTGTGGACTCACAACTGAACTGCTCTGTCAGCTGTGTCTGTCCCTGTAGATTCTGTCCTACAGCATGAGACAGGTGTGGACTCACTGAACTGCTCTGTCAGCTGTGTCTGTCCCTGTAGATTCTGTCCTACAGCATGAGACAGGTGTGGACTCTCACGAACTGCTCTGTCAGCTGTGTCTGTCCTGTCTGTAGATTCTGTCCTACTGTCCTACAGCATGAGACAGGTATGGACTCACTGAACTGCTCTGTCAGCTGTGTCTGTCCCTGTAGATTCTGTCCTGCAGCATGAGACAGGTATGGACTCACTGAACTGCTCTGTCAGCTGTGTCTGTCCCTGTAGATTCTGTCCTACAGCATGAGACAGGTGTGGACTCACGAACTGCTCTGTCAGCTGTGTCTGTCCCTGTAGATTCTGTCCTGCAGCATGAGACAGGTGTGGACTCACGAACTGCTCTGTCAGCTGTGTCTGTCCCTGTAGATTCTGTCCTACAGCATGAGACAGGTATGGACTCTGAGAACTGCTCTGTCAGCTGTGTCTGTCCCTGTAGATTCTGTCCTACAGCATGAGACAGGTATGGACTCTGAACTGCTCTGTCAGCTGTGTCTGTCCCTGTAGATTCTGTCCTACAGCATGAGACAGGTATGGACTCACTGAACTGCTCTGTCAGCTGTGTCTGTCCCTGTAGATTCTGTCCTACAGCATGAGACAGGTATGGACTCACGAACTGCTCTGTCAGCTGTGTCTGTCCCTGTAGATTCTGTCCTACAGCATGAGACAGGTGTGGACTCTGACTCTGAACATGAGACAGGTGTGGACTCACTGCTCTGTCAGCTGTGTCTGTCCCTGTAGATTCTGTCCTGCACAGCATGAGACAGGTATGGACTCACGAACTGCTCTCTGTCAGCTGTGTCTGTCCCTGGAGATTCTGTCCTGCAGCATGAGACAGGTGTGGACTCACGAACTGCTCTGTCAGCTGTGTCTGTCCCTGTAGATTCTGTCCTGCAGCATGAGACAGGTGTGGACTCACGAACTGCTCTGTCAGCTGTGTCTGTCCCTGTAGATTCTGTCCTACAGCATGAGACAGGTATGGACTCACGAACTGCTCTGTGTCAGCTGTGTCTGTCCCTCTGTCGGCTGTGTCTGTCCCTGTAGATTCTGTCCTACAGCATGAGACAGGTATGGACTCACTGAACTGCTCTGTCAGCTGTGTCTGTCCCTGTAGATTCTGTCCTACAGCATGAGACAGGTATGGACTCACGAACTGCTCTGTCAGCTGTGTCTGTCCCTGGAGATTCTGTCCTGCAGCATGAGACAGGTGTGGACTCACGAACTGCTCTGTCAGCTGTGTCTGTCCCTGTAGATTCTGTCCTGCAGCATGAGACAGGTGTGGACTCACAAGGGGTGAACTGCTCTGTCAGCTGTGTCTGTCCCTGTAGATTCTGTCCTGCAGCATGAGACAGGTGTGGACTCACGAACTGCTCTGTCAGCTGTGTCTGTCCCTGTGTCTCTCTCCCTGGATTCTGTCCTGCAGCATGAGACAGGTGTGGACTCATGAACTGCTCTGTCAGCTGTGTCTGTCCCTGTAGATTCTGTCCTGCAGCATGAGACAGGTGTGGACTCACGAACTGCTCTGTCAGCTGTGTCTGTCCCTGTAGATTCTGTCCTGCAGCATGAGACAGGTGTGGACTCATGAACTGCTCTGTCAGCTGTGTCTGTCCCTGTAGATTCTGTCCTGCAGCATCTGTCTATGACAACTGACATCCCTGATCTGTCTGTCTTTGAGAACTTCAGAAATAGGCCAACAAATGAGTGACAGTTTACATCTCTTATTTGTCGTGTTTTTCAAACCTGTGGTTGAAGTCTATATGTCCTATTTTAATACATTTGATAAATTCATTGACATATTGTTTATCGGCTTATTCAGTTGTGTATTCATGTCTAGAAAACTCGAGCCTACCACCGACTAACAGATGATGTTCCTGTTGATGTCAAGTCACGGCGCCACATGGAGCTTATAGGAGCCTTCCGCCAGGGAGCCCAGCAGCTCCACACAGCTCAGATAGGTTCTCAACAGCTCGTCCTAGTTGAAGGTGTAAGTGGCATAGGCACTGTTGTGAGCTTGGGTTTCCTATTAAGTCATTCATTCTTAACTGTTTGAGAATTGAATAATTTAAAGGTTTAATCATGACTGAAACTATTTACAAATGTTGTTTTATCTAATATACTTGTTTTTGTTTTGCAGGACAGTAAGAAAAGTGAACACGATTTAGCAGGGCGAAATGATGGCAACACTAAAGTCATTTTTCCCAAAGTAGATGTGCCTTCTTGTGCTGGGTCCCAACAGCAGCGAGTTGTCTCCCCTGGGGACTATGTGGTGGTGCAGGTAGTACAAATCAAAGTGTTATCTTCTTGATACTCACACCTGTACAAACAGGATTCTGTAAGCTTGCTAATCTGATAGCATTTACTCTGAATTCGACCGTATTATCAAGTGTCTTAATTGATGAGTCATTGAATCAGAGTACTTCACTTCCTTTGCATATGGATGCAGGTGATGCCTCCAGGACATGGAGTTCCCTGACTGACAAGGCTGAAGCACCTTAACCTGTCCTACATTTGCTCAGGTCACGGAGGTTATAACAGACTGGTGCTTCAATTAGTTAAGGGCAGCTATGTAGCTATATTTTCACAGGTCACAAGTAACTACTGGGTGAAATGTTGCTACGGATTACAATGAAACTATATAATGTCACTAGTGTTACACTACCACTGCGTGTGTTGCAGGTGACGTCGTGTTCCTCCCAGGTGCTGAAAGGGGTTCCTCTGTACCACTCCTCCCTGCAGAGCTTCCACCAGCAGAACACAGCAGCCAGAGCACATGCCTCCAGAACATAAAGACCTTGTGTGTGTGTGGATAATGTATAGTCATTAAAAGAATGTGTGTGTTGTTTGCAATGTGAACTTATTTTTTCTGTGTGTTCCCAGGGAGATTCTAGGACTTGGTCTGGGGTGTTCTCTTTTTGCCTGCATGTACTGTTTTGGGATTAAAATTACTAGACCGTAGTAATCCTTACAACAATGGGGATTAAAGCTATAGTCTGTAGTAGAAAAGCACGTATGCCAGCACTTGTTGGTAAACAGTAAAGTTTATCACATTTTGTTTATTGCATATATCAATAGCGAATATACGAATATGAGTTATTTGAAAATAAGGTGACATTTTTAATTTTACTAATATTGCATGTAACATATGCATACACAATATGTCATGTATACAAATATACAAAAATGAATTGTCTGACAAATATGATGAAATTTTAAATCAGCAAATAAATAAATAAGCGTTAAATGTTACACCAGGAAATAAATACTTTTGTGCACTGTGCATTATACATAAATACAACGTACGTACAGATGTATAGTTTGTTTCATATGACACAATAATCACATTCACAATCCCACCAGATCGTGCAGTTTTATAACCCCATGCCTCGATCATGAATACTTTTAATGACTAAGTTGACTAATCATTATGAACTGTGTTCAGTGTGGTCGGCTTGTGAGCTTGGTGGTGAGTGGATACTGAACTCCACTTACTTGAACAGACTATAATTGTGCAGGCACTGGACTGTTAACCCTAATCCGCTATAGCCAATTAAAGTGCAGGCCAAAAGAGAATACAGCCTTGGTCTCAGCAGTCTGTTGCTGTGGAAACGAGGTTCAGTGATTATGTTGCTCATAATATCAATCACGTGTTGGCTGTCCCCGACTCCACTATTTGCTTGTGGCTTGGGCATACCTGAAATATTGCTATCGATGGTGTAAATAAACTGAATTTCCTTCAGAGATTAGGAATATTTGAGGGGATAATGTTTCCAGCATTTTCACAAATATGCTGCAACAGAGTGTAATTTTATAGCTGCATCAGCATTTCTCAGCCATATAGCAACATATGTTGACACAAATCATGACAAGACATGCATAAACAGTTACAAAGTAATGTCAAAGGTAAATAACAAATAATGACACAACACGAACTTTCCTGTTTCATGCTTCAGCTTTATGTACAGGGAGATATTCAGTCCACCACATAGACCATGTACATATCATACCATGCATTACTTCTTCCCTGAACATTAAGCAGAGACATGGAGGAGGAAAATTAATCCCCAAGTCCGCAGTATATTTGTTCAATTCCATTCACTACTCCCGTGTTTACATCGGTATTTACACGTAGTTCCAATATACATTTTGATTCCCTATGTGTAACGGTTTCTTAACGGTTTTCTGATATCGTTGTCCCTTGGTGATACGATTTAGGACGGTAATGATCCCACGGTATGGTTTCGCTTTCTACTTTGTTATATAAACAACCCTCCCAATCTTCATGAGATGCTCATGACCCGTTAACATCCAGGTTGGAAGATATTTGTAGTGGCGATTAAAGGGATCGGGTGGTCAGGTCACACCTATAATTCTCAAAGCTATACTACTATGGATCCCGACTGCAGATGCCATGAATGTATACAACCATCATGATTTTAAGTTTCCGACTACATGTCATACCATCTACTTTCATTTTAGATATCATCTTTTCTTGTCATGATACTGTTTCATATATCTATGTATATTGGAGCGGTCTTCATATAAGTTCTTTCGAGCTTGTTGACCAATCCAGTTCATGAAAATTCTGTCTTTGCTTTTTCATGAAATAAATATGTTTAAACCAGGTCACATGTTTGATGCATGTCATCGTGCCCCCATTGAGTAAATGATGTCAGTGGATTGTCTCGTCCAGACTCTAATATGTACAGACCACGTGTCAGAAAGATGGAGTATGGTGGTGTAAAACGATAAACAAACACACTTGCTCCTACAACCGGACCCTCATCATGGTGGTCACCAGAGGCTTTAAGTACTCGGTTATAGTCATCATAAGCATATTCCATGAAGGGCCCTGCAGGACTGTCGGCTATAGCCTGAAGCCAGGCGTCATCCACTTGGTCCAGGGGAACTGGGGCGGTGGGGTAGCCTAATGGTATAAGCGTTGGCTCGTCACGCCAAAGACCCGGGTTCGAATACCCACATGGGTACAGTGCGTGAAGCCCATTTCTGGTGTCCCCCGCCGTGATGTTGCTGGAATATTGCTAAAAGCGGCGTAAAACCAAACTCAGTCAGTCCGTCCAAGGGAACTAGAGTTAAGACAGCTGCTCTTCTCACCAGCCGTTTAATGTCTTCATCTTCCTTGTAGTTTGTGGCAAGGCCTTCTTTCTGCACACGGCACCAAGTACACTGCGTGTTGTGGAAGAAATATCCCCTAATTAGTATTCGGGACAACAACACAGACAGCATTGTGGGCAGCAAGTTCAAAATCTAATTGGAAAGTTCTTGGGTTCAAGCTGGGTGCCAGGTCAAACAGGAAGCCTTGGGATAGTCTTATGGGGCTGCCTGTACAAAATGGTTTTCAGGGAAGCAAAGGAAGGTATCTCCCCCAGAAGCTGGTCTGGAACTACGTTGTGGTGACGCAGTCGGGATACTTCATGAATTGATGCTGTTTCGGTCATTGCCGGGTGAATCAGTTTGGACTTGAACACTTCAACCTCCATCTAAACGGGTACAGGAGGGTGGGTGTGGTTCACCTGCAGAACAGCATGCAACACGTGGTTCGGTGTTGCCACAGATGCATTGCAACCAGGAACTATACAGTTCCAGTACTTCTTTCTTCCGCGACGCTTCTTACATCTGAACTTATACTGGTAAAATAAACAAGTGTGTACCGCATCTGACCGTCTCCACGAATGTAATTCGAACCTGTGCATTAGCCATTTTAGCAACGATAATTCCTTCACTTATTTACAATGGATGAAACTACAGTGATGAACTCCGTGTCAGTTTAAAATTACACAACAAAGTAACAAAACTATCTGATCTATTGTTGTGTCAAACTATCTGATCTATTGTTGTGTCAAACTGTCTGATCTATTGTTGTATTCGACTATCTGATCTATTGTTTTATTCAACTATCTGATCTATTGTATCAAACTATCTGATCTATTGTTTTATCAAACTATCTGAACTATTGTTTTATTCAACTATCTGATCTATTGTATCAAACTATCTGATCTATTGTTTTATCAAACTATCTGAACTATTGTTTTATTCAACTATCTGATCTATTGTTGTGTTCAACTATCTGATCTATTGTTTTATTCAACTATCTGATCTATTGTTGTATCAAACTATCTGATCTATTGCTTTATCAAACTATCTCATCTATTCTTTTATACTAGTATCAACTATCTGATCTATTGTTTTATTCAACTATCTGATCTATTGTTGTACCAAACTATCTGATCTATTGTTTTATTCAACTATCTGATCTATTGTTTTATTCAACTATCTGATCTATTGTGTTATTCAACTATCTGATCTATTGTTGTATCAAACTATCTGATCTATTGTTGTATCAAACTATCTGATCTATTGTATCAAACTATCTGATCTATTGTTGTATCAAACTGTCAGATCTATTGTTGTATCCAACTGTCAGATCTATTGTTGTATCAAACTATCTGATCCATTGTTGTATCAAACTATTTGTTTTAAAATCTTTCTATACTTATAACATGGTTTCTCACATTATAATAGATTCAATTTGAATCAAACAGAACTTCTCACATGTTTGTTTAACACACCGAACACATGTTTGTAGAGCATGCACAAACAGGAGTAACGAAGACAATTTGGTTTCCAAAAGTAGAAACAGTACTCAAAGATCAATATTTACAACAATGGCGATGTGAACTAGCGTCTAGTTCGAAAGGAAAATTTTACCAAAATGTTAAAGACAATCTATGCCATGAAAACTACCTCTTCCTTCCCAAATCTATACTTAATCCAATTCTTAGATTTAAGTTATCTAATCACAATTTACCGATAGAAACAGGGCGCTGGTACAACATTCTTAGAGAGAAAATAGACTCTGTAAACTTTGCGATTCTCCGTCTGTTGGGGACGAATTCCATTACCTTTTTAAATGCGAAGCTCTTCTCCAACAGCGGATAATGTATATTCCAAATTATTACTACGAATGGCCTAATCTGTTCAAACTAAAACGACTATTTTCAATAAAGAAACCAAAGCATTTGAAAAACCTAGCTAAATTTTTAAATGCCTTGTCAAATGCCCTGAAATTGTAAACGAATTGTGATAATAATACTCTATCTAACTATTCTTTTATCCGCCATCTTGATTGTATATTTATGTTAAATTGTATATCTTTATATTCTCATGTACCACCGTGGGTGGGTTTTTAGAGAATTAAATGTTCTGTTCTGTTCTGTAATCATCGTCGCTCAACTCATTTCCGGTAATCTGATGTTTTCTTTGCAAGTAACATGTTGACGCTTTCCCGCAATACCGACAGAACCTGGTTTGACGCTTTACCGGGTATGCTTAAAATTGAAATGCGCCTTCACGGGCCAGCCAACCCATCACTCAGGGATACTTGGTAGAAGGGCGGGCCGACACCCATATTCCAACCCATCACCCAGGGATACTTGGTGGAAGGGCGAGCCGACACCCATACTCCAACCAATCACCCAAGGACACTTGGTAGAAGGGCGGGCCGACACCCATATTCCAACCAATCACCCAGGGATACTTGGAAGAAGGGCATGTAACTCTCCAGTAACCCAAAGTCAAGTGGAACAGAGAATCGGTTACCTAATGCATCACATATACAGTACAACCAGAAATTATTGAGAATTTAAAGATTATAATTTTTATATTTTTTTTCACTCATTACTCACGTATTAAATGTGAATATTAGTAGAACATAACTCCAGATTCAAAGACAGGTGAACAGTTAGTATTTTGTCAAGTCACCATGGGCAGCAATGCAGGCTTCAATGCGGCGGGGCATCCTTCGATCAAAGAAGTTAGAAAGTCGTGGT